TTAATTTAAATTTATTAGGTATTAAATGATTTTTCTATGCCCTAAAAAAAGGTTCCTCATACTTTTTAGGTGTCTAATTTAATTATTCTACCTCAAAAACACTATTCCTACGCATGAAAATTCAAATAAAATATTCACAACACATAAAATAATTCAAAAAATCACATAAAATAATTTAACACCCCTTTAACAAATATTCTAAGCAAACAAGATATTTTTCATGCATGTGCAACATGCTTCGAATAATTATTTCATGCAAAAACTACTATTCATACATTGTAAAATCAATAAAATAATCATTAAGCATAAAAGAACTATTTTAACTATTCTAAATACTCTTTCAATTCCTCAAAGATTATTTTACACCTTTAAAATATTTCTTACATGTGTTTAATATTTAATTTTTATTTAATTTTAGTTTTAGTTGGTAACGATTATTAAATGTTGGCTTGCATTCATTGCAGTCCGAATATAAGTCAATATCGGTAATATCCTCAACCCGTCTAGGGCCTATGTCGGGGGTGTTACAATATATATTTTATCATTGTCAAACTGTACAAAAAACTATAAAAAAAAATGAGGACATGTTTTCTATAATTTTCACACCTAATTTAATAGCCCAAGATATGTTGCTTACGTATTTACTAACAAAATAATCAATAACATTACCACAAAAAGCTATATTTGAATAATTAGTAGATTCTTTAAAGATACTATTTCAATTATTTTGTTTAAAAAATACTAACTTTAGAATATAAAAAAAAATATACTAAATAATTGGTATTATGTGTGTAGATATATAGTTAATTTTTAATAAAACTAATGATTCAAATATACATAAACATGTTATGATCATACTTAGTGAATTTAGAATATATATCATAGATAAAAAAAAAAAAAATCCACCCAAGAAGCATGGAATATATTGAAGTCAATAGATTGAAATAAAAACTACCACAAAATTAGTGTGTGTGTGTGTGTGTGTATTGAAGTCAATAGATTGAAATAAAAACTACCACAAAATTAGTATATGTGTGTATGTGTGTGTGTGTACACACACACACACACACATATCATAAAAATTCTTCGATATAAATTATAATAATATATTGAAAAGGATAAAATAATCACATTCTGAAATTTTATTGCAAAATCGATATATAAACAAACAAACTATATTTATCAACAAATCGAATTGTATTAAAAAATAAAAAAATTAATTTGATGAGAATTTAAAAAAAAATGATGAATTGAAGAAACAAGTTTTAAACAACAAGAGTTATATAATATGATACATATACGTTAAACATGAAAATTTAAAATATATCATATATATTTCATCAACATTAAATTGTACGAAGGACGTGTTTTTTATAATTTTCACACTTAATTTAATAACTCATAATATATTGTATATGTATTTATTAACAAATTAATCAATAATATTAGTATACAAAACTATATTTGAATAATCAATAGGTTCTTTCAAAATATTATTTCAATCATTTTATTTGAAGAATACTAATTTTAGAACGTGAAAAAGAATAAATAACAAATAATTAGTGTTATATGTGCAGGTACATAATTAATTTATAACAAAACTAATGATTCAAATCATACACACACACACACATTATGATCATATTGAATAGATTTAGAGTGTATAGCATAAATAAATAAAAATAAAAAAAACCCCTAAGTTGTACGAAATACATGGAATTCAATGAATTGAAAAAAAAATATTGTACAACTAGTTTCGATAAATTTTGATTATATATTCAAAAAGAAAATAAAACCCATTAATTATGTTTTTAATTAATTATTAAGACATTTTTTCAAAAACAATTGAGCCAAATTATCCAAGATACACTTTTAACTTATACACATAGATAGACACACACACACACACACCACTCGTTATTTAAAAATCATAAAAATTCATCATATATATTATAATAATATATTAAAAAAGACAAAAAAATTACATTCTAAAATTTTATTCAAAAATCTACATATAAAAAATATTTATCAACAAATAAAATTATATCAAAAATTTTAAAATATAATTTGATGAGAATTTTGATAAAAAATGATAAATTGAAGAAATAAAATTTAAGTAATAAGAGTAATATAATACGATATACATGTTCAACATAAAATTTTAAAATATGTCATATATATTTTATCATCATCAAACTCTATGAAAAACTCAAAACATAAGGATATGCTTTTTATAATTTTCATACCAAATTTAATAAGCTCATGATATGCTGTGTACGTACAAAAAAAAAAAAAACTGAATCAAAGGATAAAAAATGAAATGAATAGTAAGAGAAGCGACATGAAAGATCAGTGCATGCATTATCTAGAAAAAAGGAAGAAGCGAAAAGCCATTGAATGCTCGACAAACACAAAGAAAATGACAAAAAAAGGCATAAAGGTAGGAAAAAAGAAGAATAAGCAAAAGCCAACAAATATAACACAAATTTTTAATGGCATAAAATCGGTTAATAAAAGGGGAAAAAATCAACAAATTGCACAACAAAAAAAACCTACCCACACGATTAATTAATTCGGAACAAAAAAATCTTGCTATAACTTGCATATCCAATGTCTAGGGACAAAAAACATCACATGCAAAAAGGAACCAACTATTAGGATGCAACAAAATAAGTAGCATAGTTGAGATGAGTCTTGATCCATAGTCCGCATAAGTCATAATGTACGGTAAATGAATAGTAAATACTTCAATTCTTTTAATTTTCTTTAGAATTTATTTTGATACTAATAAACCGTCAATTGTTTTCTTCTTGTACGTTTGTGTGTATTTTTAAATCAATGAACAATGAGTAGCTGCGAAACTTGATTTGACCTTATAAGTTTTGCATCTAAATAAGAAAAAAATCTACATGCTATTATAAATTACATCATTTTGAATTTGGATTTAACTTAAATTGCAAGTTAGTGTATATTCTTACACTAATAAACTTGTTATATTTGTTAAAGAAGCGACATGAAAGATCGGTGCATGCATTATCTAGAAAAAAGGAAGAAGCAAGAAGCAATTGAATGCTCTAACAAACACAAAAAGAAAATGACGAAAAAAGGCATAAAGGTAGGAGAAAAGAAGAATAAGAAAAAGCCAACAAATATAACACAAATTTTTAATGGCATAAAATCGGTTAATAAAAGGGAAAAAATCAACAAATTACACAACAAAAAAAACTACCCACACGATTAATTAATTCGGAACAAAAAAATCTTGATGTAACTTGCCTATCCAATGTCTAGGGACAAAAACATCACATGCAAAAAGGAACCAACGACTAGGATGCAACAAAATAAGCAAGCATAGTTGAGATGAGTCTTGGTCCATAATCCATATAAGTCACAATGTACAGAAGTGAATAGTAATTATTTCACTTCTTTTAATTTTCTTTGAAATTTATTTTGATACTAATAAACTTTCAATTGTTTTCTTCTTACACATTTGTGGTATTTTTAAATCAATGAACAATAAGTAACTACGAAACTTGATCCGACCTTACAAGTTTTGCATCTAAATAAGGAAAAAATCTATATGCTATTATATATTACATCATTTTGAATTTGGATTTAACTTAAATTGTAAGTTAGTGTATATTTTTACACTAATAAACTTTCAACTGTTTTTCTTCTTATATACTTGTGTATATTTTTAAATCAACTACCAATGAGTAGTTGTGAAACTTGATCTAACAAACATGCTATTATATATTATATCTTTTTTTACGACATTGTCAAACACTAAAAAGTAGTTCCTAACTCATATTTTTATGATACAACCAAATATAAAAACATAGTTAATTTTCCCGTAACTTGTTTTTCAATAAAGTCTTTATAACAAACAAACAAATCCTTAGTCTTTTTTCAAAAATGCCATCAATGGCAGTAATTGTAAAACTTTTTGTCTAATGGATTTATTAACTTTAATTGACAACAAACATGGATTTTTTTTTGTGAATTTTAAGGAATGTTTGTTATGCGTAGAATATTTAAAAAACAAGAAATATTTCACATGTAAAGTATTTTTCTATAAAACATTTTATATTGAAAACATTTTATGATGTTTGGTAAATGATGATTTAAAAATACACTAGTGACAGAATGATGATAATGTTTTATGATATTGTGACAATGGTGATTATGATTGCAATGGAGGTGGCATGGTGATGTTTAAGTATGGTGGTAACAATTGAAATAGTTATATGATACTGTGAGTGGATTACTATCCAACTTTTACGTAAAATATGTTACAAAAAATAAACACAGAAAAATTTAAAAAATATTTTTTTTGTAAAATATTTTACACAAAACAAATGTCTATTAAAGTGATTAGAAATGCACTTTACTCTTATATTCCAAACGTGAATAAAGTATAATTAAAAAAATGTTTAATATGTTTTAATCTGGTTATAATTAATCGAATTTCACGTAAAATCATTCAAATCACAAACATGAAAAAACTTAATTAGTACGCAAAAATTAAAATAATGTTTCTCGTTATAAAATATGTTAAATTTATTTAATTATACATATGCGGAGCGGAGCACATGCCAAGTGGATTACAAAAGCTTCCGTCTAATGGCAATGTCTACTATTCTTTCCGATGGGCTGGGTTATCTCCTTGACCTTTTGCAGATTTGACAAATAAATAAGGTATTAAACACGTTACTGGCCTAATTTCAGGATCCAAATTTAAGTCCACTTACGTTCAAACTCAAGCATTCCACGTTTTCGCGTCCTACTCAAACGGCCCAACGCGAGGTTGCTTAGGAAGTAATAAGCATAACGTCCGCGAAGAACTACTTGTCAGATTTAGAAACCAAACCAAAAACATAAAAAAAAAAAAACATCTACTTCAGATCTCAGACTGAAGCGAAGTTCACTAGAATGTTAAAAAGCAGTACACTGTAATCAAATTTCCAGTCTCTCCCTCCGATCAATTTATCCGGTTCTCAATGGAAGACGCGTACGCTAGATCCATCACCGAGGTAATTGCCTTCTCTCGCTTCTTTCACAGCACGAAATTCGCTTGCCAATGGAGGTCAAATTGTAACGAGCTATGACTGCTTTTTGTTTAGGTTTTGGATTTTTTTGGGGTAGACCCTTCAAAAGGTCTCAGCGATTCTCAGGTATTCGTGCGTTTCAGTTTTGCTTATTAGGAACTGAACTAAATTTTTTGGTGTAGAAGTGAAACCAATTGCCTTGATTTTTTTTTCTTTCTAATTTGTTGTTAGGGTTCAAATTTAAGTTAAGATTTATTCTCTGTTTTGTCACAGGTGGCACTACACTCAAAAATTTTCGGGAAAAACGGTATGTTCAAACTCTTGACTTTTTTTTTTAATTTAGTTGAATCTCCACTTCAAGATTGTTTCCCTTTCAAACTCAGTATCTCTTGCCCTTTTCTTTCTTGCAGTTCTTTTTCTTTCTGTTTTAAGTTGCAACCGAATTAGGTTTGATCCTTCTGGAAATTGATATCTTAGGATCGTAGTTTTTTAAAATGTTTGTTGGTTATTTGTTCCATTGCTTGCAATCTGCTACTATTTTTTATTTCTCCATTTAGTGCTACAAATAACATAAACTGATTAAAACGTTCCAATCCACCCATTGTGCTCATCTTTGACCCATTGGTTTCTGTTCCAGCTTGGTAAAAAAATAAAAAATAAAATTTGTTATGGATTTTAACCCACCCCCTTTTCTTTTGCATCTTATGGCTCGTGTCCTTTGGCTGTTTGCTTCACTCGTGGTCTGCAGTGCTCCCTGAAGAGACAAGTAAGTACATGGAACTTGCCTCTGGTTTCCCAAGATTTTGCATGCTTAAAATGCCTTTATGTTAATCTCATGAAACTTCTTGGGTCATCCATATGCCTTTTGTCTTATATGTTTGTCACATGTGCATTTCATATGGTTGTTCGATCGTCTCTTTATCTGTCTGATTTTATGTGTGATCATAGAACTTAGTTGGGTCTAAGGCTTACTTGAGTTGAGTTCGTTAATATAGTTTAGGTACTTTGTGTTCAGGATGGTTAAGTTAATATGGAATCTGAACCGATTAAATTAAAATATCAAAGTGATCCAGAAGGGAGGAATGTGGGGAAGAAAAGTATGGAAATTGATCTGCATACTTGCCCTAAGATGACTTTCTAATGGTGGTTGAAGGTTTGACTGCATTTGGTAAAGATTGATGTTCTGTCATGAAAATGAATTGGTGTCTTGAAGCTGTCCCATGATGACTGTGAGGAGGTCCCATGATGACTGTAGGAGGTGAAAAAGAAGGGAGAGATTGCTAGATTCTTGGACTGCATCTTGTGATCAAATGTTCTTTGAGTTCTAAGTGGGTTATTTTCAGCGACTCTTAGTTCTTGATTTTGTGAATGATTGTCTTGGACTCATTTGAGTGCTTAAATACCTACTTTTTAATGGAAGTTTAAAAATTGTAGTTAATTATTAACTTCGTAATTGAAAATGTTGAAAATTTATATAGTTGCATGTTGAACCTGGAGGTTGGTTGGGTTGACCTACAACAGCCTTGCTTCAGAACTTGTCCATATCTCATTGCTTTTTTAGTGCAATTGTAGTTGCCACTTTGTCTTATAACTTTATCAGATGTAGTTGAAGTATATTAGATTTTTCTTAGGGTTTTTAGTGGTTTGATGTAGAATTAGTTCAAAGTTAATAGCAAGAGACTTTGACGAATAGGTCAAGGATAAGGTCGAAATGGTTTTATTGGTGCTAAACAAGTCTTTGGGTGATGTTTAGGCTATTTTCTTGCCCTTTGGAGGGATGGGCTTAGGAAGGGAATAAATGGATGTTTTAGATGCAGGGAGCCATCTATTCAAGACAGTAAGTTGGGTTTCTTCTAGACTCTATACGCGTGGCTCTCCTTAATGCATCTTTCATGGATGTGATCCTGTTGTAGATTCTTGATTGGCAATGATATTTGGATAATTCAACTTGTCTCTTTCTGATTAATTAACATAAGCTAAGGGTCCACAATTCGGCTTCTTATTTCATTTAAGCTATCCGTGATGATGAATGGTGTTATTTAGAAAAATAAATGCATTGAGGCTTATGTGTTCCACATTTCTCTCTATGCAGGGACTCCATTTTGGAAATTGGTTCTAAAACAGTTTGATGATTTGCTTGTTAAGATACTGATTGCTGCTGCTGTTGTTTCTCTTGTTTTGGCTTTGATCAATGGGGAAACTGGCTTGACAGCTTTCTTGGAGCCTTTTGTAAGATGTGATTTCTTCCTTCTTTTATATGAATTGATTGTTGTCGCATGCCAACAAACTGAGCTAGTGTAATGATGCTTAAATTCCAAGAATATTTCATCCTTTTTTCCTTTAATTAATAAATAATTTTTCATCCTTTCCAGCTACAATTTCATCAGTCTTATTAATAACATAATCAGTTGATATTTATATATTTTTACTGGTGAAATGCATTGAACATTCTCCGCTAAAGTTACGATAGCTTTTATTTACTTGCTATCAAAGTACACTTATTATCAAAGTTTCTACTCCTTCCATATAACGATATGAATTGTTGTTCACCCTTATATAATTTTAATAACTCAGTGCTTTCATTCTCTTTGTATCGTTGTGTTGCTTATTTAATATATATCTAATAATTCTAATTTATAAAATCTGTTTTAATCTTTTCAATGTCTTTCTCTTTAAGTATCATGAAAAATGCATTGCTCTTAGAGAGCTGATAATTTTCTATCAATTTTCTCTCTCTCTCTCTCAATGTTGTTGCCCCTCTCTGAATGACTGCCAAGCTGACGATTTCCCATCCATGTAAATGCAATTCAATTTAAGGGTTCTGTGTAAAAAGTATTATTCTTAACTTTTTCACATAAACCATTTTGTTGCAGTCATGGTCCTTGTTTTCCTTATTGTTTCATGAAAGGCGAATATGAGCCTTCCAATCTTTTTTATTCTAATCATATACAGTTTATGAAAAGAATACTGTTGTTATGTCTTATAGACTTTAAAATATCTTACTGCTTTTTGTTTCTTTTCCCTTTTTTTAAAATTATTTTCTATACTTACTATTTTCTTAATATAATTTTTTTTATGCCTTTCCAAGAACAAGGCTTCGCTCCCAGGGAGCTGATAAAGTTCTTTTAGGGTGGTTGGCCACTCTCTGAGTGACTAAAGCCTACGATTTCACAACCATATGAGTAGACACCCCTGCCTTTGGTGCTTGCGACAATTACTTACAGTCATAGTCAAATTCATCCTTGCGTATGTATATTATAGATATATGTATATGTAAGTGAATTTCATCCACAAAATGTTTGCTGTTGCTTCTTCAATTTTGTCTATGAAGCTGAATACCATAAGGGTGCTGCAGTAGTTCCAGTGCAAAAAATCAGACATTTTTAGGGAGTACGTCGATTATTTGGCAAGGCTGTTTAGGGACTCTGTGCTGAATTACTATTCTGTACTTCACAGAAAGCCTTTTATTGCAGCCATAATCTTTGTGTTACCTTCTCTTTTGTGTGTTTTGTAGATATATTGATTTGATCTCTGAATTTCTGTTGTCATCTCCTTCTCTTCCTTCCCATATTAATTTGCTGTGATAGTGGGGAAAAAAATCAGACATTTCTAAGGAAGCATTGATTATTTGCTGAGGCAGTTTAGGAATTTGTGTGCAAAAATTACTATCTTTTCATTTTCGCAGAAATCATATATTGCAGCCATGGTTGTTGTTACCTTAAGATATCATAGTGCTTTTTATGTTATACTTATTTTATTACCTATCCATATTTAGTATTTCCAATGTCTTTTTATTTTTTATTTTTTATTTTTTGGGCTAGTATTTAAGTATGTAGCTTTGCTCTCAGAGAGTTGGTGAGGTTCTCTATTGGTGGTTGCCCTCTCTCTGAATGACTGTGATATCACAACCATATCAATCAATAGACCTACCTGTGGTGCCTGCAAGTATGACTTCAAGCTTTTGTAGAAGTCACTCTTTGTGGTCATGAATCAGATTTGATTTGTTATGCTTTTTCTTGAGGAACACATCGGTTATTTGGCGGCACGATTTAGGAATTCTGTGCAGAAAAATATCCTGTACTTTTTCATGGAAAACCTTGTGTTTCAGCCATGGTTCCTTTCTTACTGTCTATCCCCTTATTTTTTGTCCTCAGAAAGAATATCTTCTCCTCAAAAGAGAAGTCTTTTATTATTCTACCTTTATTGTTTTTTCTTATTTTTCATTTTTTAATAAAAAATTTCCTTAATTCCATGGCTTGTATTTTAGATTTTCTGCTTATGTAAGCTTTAAACTGGATGCCACATGGCATAGCATACCAAAGCTTCATCCATGTCAGGATGAAATTAAAGTTGGGTTGCATACGTAGTATATCTTTTCAGTATGAAATGCATTGAACATTGGTCATTAATGAAAAATCAGACATTTTTAAGGAAACACATTAACTCTGGCTCCTTACTGATTGATAAAAGGTGAATACGAGGATTACTGTTTTTCATACCTAAAATAAACGATCTCCTCTTAAAAAAGTCTCTTGTCTTACTTTGAATGCACTATTTTTCTCAATGAATTTTTATCTCTTCTTTTCTTTTTAGCTCGTATATGCATTGAACTATTATTTTATATTTTGAAATTTTAGAAGCTTTAACTACATGCTGCAGGGCATGACAAAACTCAAAGTTTCATTTGCGTGAACAAATTAAATGGTTTTTTCATATAATTAATGAAAGTTAGGTTTCTGCTTTCGTATTTCGTATAAAGGGATGCGATTATGGACAAATCACCATGAGTTCTGCATCAATGATGAAAATAACAAGATTGGTTTTGGTAATGGGAAAGTGCAATTTTCTAGTTTAGGGGCATGTTCAGGTGGGTTGGCCTATTGTTGACTTGGTATGAAGGTTGTCAAAGAAAATACATTGAATGATTTGTGCTAATGCTAATGTTGCTGAGCTGGCATTTTTGGGTCCATCCCTTATTATGAAAGGCTTATCCTGTTTAAAATGAGGTATCGCAAGACAAACTAATTTTTATTGGTTAGGAGGATATGGACACATTCAAAATGCTCCATGTAAAGAAAGAGGCTGACCTGGCCTGGGATTTATTTTGGTGTTCTATTTATATCTTTCTTAGTTCTTGGTATGCATGATTTATTGTAGCTGCTAGAACATACAACTTACATATACGGTTTTCTATCTCTCAGGTCTCAAAGTTTTTGTTTGATGGTCTTGATATATTTTGTTATATGCACAGGTTATCCTGTTGATTTTGGCTGCCAATGCTGCTGTAGGTGTAATTACAGAAACAAATGCTGAGAAGGCTCTTGAGGTAAGTTCTGGAGTTCTTATTATTCACATAAACAGCAGCTGACATCTGGTTATGGAAAATATAGATGTGACCTTTTAATTGTTCTGGTAAATACTGATCCATTAACAATGTAATTTACATAATTCTCTACCTCCTGGTTACCCTTTTATACTTTTTTGTGGCAGCTGCCTGTTTAAGCTTTGAACGAAGTTGGATGAATGCAATGTACTTGTGTGCATCTTGTTTTCGCCTAATGAATTTGGTTGCATCTTTTTTTTTTTTTGTTTTTTGTGGTTATTTCGATAAGTATAATCTACCATTGAAACTGGACGTACTGTGGCGTTGACATCTTATGCATAAAACGACATTATTCTGCAAAGATCACGTTTCTGATCAACAGAGGTTCATCTTGTGTTGATCATGGTTCTCTCCCTCTTGCTTGCAGGAGCTACGTGCCTATCAAGCTGATATTGCAACCGTGCTGCGAAATGGTAAATAAAAAATTAATTTCTTGGTGCATTGCATGTTCTCTTTTGTTGCCTTTGGAGTGCCTTTCCTGTCAATTGCTTGAGATTGTTAACTTTGTGTAAATTTTTACTTAGAGTTTTGCCCTTTATCTAGGTGATGCTACCGTTGTTCTCTCCATGCTATTATATACTTGTGATATCACTGGCTGCTTTAGCCTTAGGCTTTTGCTTAACTATTTAATGTGCGGGGCAGGATTTGGTTACTTGCTAGAGTAAGTTTTACTATTGAGGGAAAAATAAAAACTAGCAATCTGTGTCAAATTCTTGTTGCCCTTTCATTGATTAAGGATTTCCTGTAGTCAAGTATCACAATAAAGAATATTTTGTGCCCATGTTTTTTTTGCTTTAGGGAATTGTTCTTCCTGATTGAACTCATGTAAGTATGCAGGTTCTTCTACTTTGACTTGGTCAGATTCCTTTCCCCGAAGTTCAGAGTATTTGTGGTTTTTTCACTTTTGATGCATTAAACTCCATTTACTGAACACATGTTGTTCAAGGCACACCAATTTCTGTGTATTCTTGTCATCGCTATTTTCTTATTGGCCTAAACTTTGCAAGTCCCACTGAAATCTGAACCTAGACTTCTTGATTCAATATACCTATATGAGTTGGCAGTTGTATTGTTTGCAATTGTTACTTTAAACCCACACTGTATGTTTCTTCCATCTTTTTGGCTGGAAGTTCGCGGATTATATATTGCTTTGCTATATATGTTGGATATTTTATCACTTTCTGTCCATCTATTGTTACAGGATGTTTTTCCATTCTACCTGCTACTGAGCTTGTTCCAGGTGATATTGTGGAAGTCAGTGGTATGTTAATCATGTGGTCTGCGTGATCCTAGTTAGTTATTTATTATTATGGATGAAAATGATGGTGATATGACATCGGGTTCTTTTGTGTTCTGAAATAGTGGGATGCAAGATTCCAGCTGACATGAGAATGATTGAGATGTTATGTAATCAATTACGTGTTGATCAAGCAATTCTTACTGGTACATCAGCCTTTTCTTTGGATAATGCTAACGATTTGTTAGATTAATCTAGCTCAGAAAAGAATTCAGTTTATATATATATATATATATATACTTTCTAGGATATATATATATATTTATATATCCTAGAAAGCCTCTATGGGTTTCTTCAGCAAAGAAATGATGGGACTGTTGTGCTTCCCTTGCCATTCTATTTTGGGTATACACTCTCATGCCACTAAGCTATTCATATCTCATTTTCACTGCCACTCTTTTGACTGCCTCACACACTTTGCATTCGCATAGTGTGACTCTTATATGGACTAGGCCATGCACTGACACACTCCAATGCTTTTCAATTTAGACCAGGTTATGTACCACACACTTCATTGCCACTCATGGGGACTAGGTGATATATTACGTCCCCCTTGCATTTTATTGTGGACAAGGTCTTATACCTTACACTCTAATCCATTGTCATTCTTCTATAGGCTAAACATGTAAGCCATGTTTCTTTGTACTCCCAACGTTTCCTAGATGCTGCACACAGTTTCAACTTTATTTACTACAGATACTCATTGTCTAAACAAATTGGAGTTGACTTTTTGTGTATTTTGCTTGCATTTACATTGATGAATTTGGTGAATTATATTAGCATTTGACCAGGGACTGTCTTCTATGTAGTGTTTTCGATTCTCTCCAATTACTTATTTGTGAAGCATGTCACAATCTGATCCAACTGATGATTCTGTTTTATGACTCCAGGTGAGAGCTGTTCTGTTGAAAAAGAGCTCGAGTCCATCATAGCAACAAATGCCGTGTACCAAGACAAAACAAATATTCTTTTCTCAGTATTTATTCTGAACTCTGTTGCAGTCTTTCATCAAATGTACATAGAGGATGTAGCTACTGTTTCCCTTTTGATAACTGTTTCCTGTAAATTTGGTATATTGCACATGACTTCTGCTATCGCCTTTGGTTTGATTAAATGGACTGAACTTGGTCCTTATACTGAACTTTGATTGTGTGATCTGGAAAAAATACTTCATATCCAGAGGATCCAGTTGTTTCCTTACTCTTTTGGAGCCGTAGTTTGAATGTTTTTTTCTATCTGGAAATTTAAACTGCTAACTTTCTTTTTCTATAGAGCCATAGAATAAATTTATCTTGACTGCCAGGGTACAGTAGTGGTTGCGGGCAGGGCAAGAGCTGTTGTTGTTGGAGTTGGAGCTAATACTGCCATGGGGAGCATCCGGGATTCCATGTTGAGGACAGATGATGTAAGCACTATCAATTTCCAAATCTTTCTATAAATATCTAATATGCAAGTAAATTGTTAACTCTGTTTTGATCCTGTCCTGTTTTTCCTGAATATCTTATTTTTGCACTACAACTTCCTCGAGAGTCTTAAGTTTGTGCTTTATGTAATTGGATTGAACCCTATGTATGTGACTTGCTGATGAGCTATAACTAGACAGGATGAGGTGCCATAGTAAGATTGTTGAGCTTTCGGCAATACTTACTGAAGCTATGTGTTTTCTTGATGCATATGAGTGATCTTGTTTCATGGCATGCATTTTTTGGTGACATTATAGTTTGTTTATCTTTCTAGCTGTTCTGTGTCTAATGGTTTAATGCTTCCAACGAGAAGAAGAAGAAGAATCATACTTATGCTCATATGCACTGTTTGTGTGTAACTGGTTGTTTCTGCAACACTTTACAGGAAGCAACTCCATTGAAGAAGAAGTTGGATGAATTTGGCACTTTTTTGGCTAAGGTATTACTCATCAGCTGGACCCTCCCATTTTATGAGTGGCAATTTTATATATGCAATTAGCTTCTACTTCAGTAGACTTAAAATAGTCTGCATAATTGTTTTGCCATCCCATACTTAGAAAAAGAAAAGAAAAAGGAAAGTTCGTTCTCATACTTGTCAAAAAAAAAAAAAAAGGGAAAAAAAAAGAGAAATATTCCTCTCTCCCATCCCCGCCTTAAAGTTGGAAAAATTGAGTTGAACTGAATGATTTTCTGAAAGATTGGTCAAGGTTCGGCCTATCTATATTGACACAGAAAAATGCTCCTTTCATGTCCTATTGCAAAGCAATATTGGCTTTATTGCGGGGATTTATTACGACTGCTTGATCCACATCCAGTTTTTCTTCATTTTCATGCCAAGTGACAAAGTTTGGCTGATGGTAACCCTTAAGGAAATACATTTTTCATGTAATTCATCTCTTATTTATTTTCTGTTTTACACCGTCTGGTTGTTATCATTCCATAGTTTATCAGAGTTTTGCCCTTTGTATTAATTGACATATGGAACTCTTATTTCTTTGCAAACAGAAGCTGAATGAAGTGCATTATTGAATATTTGGTGCAAATTTAGGTCATTGCAGGGATTTGTATACTTGTGTGGATTGTAAACATTGGTCACTTCCGTGACCCTTCTCATGGCGGGTTCTTGCGCGGTGCGATCCACTATTTCAAGGTATTGTTATGCGGACAAAGTCTGATCTTTTTCATTACTGTCAGAATATAAGCCAAGTCTGGTTTTATGCTTCTTCTGCTCATGTCAATTAAATTGGCATCCATTACTTTATGGTATTTGTGGATAATTATGTAGCTATAGTCCCACCAGATGGAATACCCCCAAAATTTTACCATGCCATTAAAAAGAATGTTCCTAAAACTTCTAAATACTTAGTTGCTTGAAAGTATCATGCCCTGTTTTGTAAGTTTGTTTCAGTATGAATTAGTTGAATGCCCTTGGGATGTCTTTTCAGACGCTCATGTGCAGAAGGTGTTCTGGTTTAATTTCACCTCAGTTGTGTGAAAAATAAGTAAACTATATACCTCGTCATATTATTTTTTCTAATTCCACAATCCATTTTGTACTTTGTATTTGGTTGGCTGAATTACTCTTTTAGTGGCCTTCTTTGAACCATTTTGCTCCTTTTCTGATCCACTCCACCATCACTGTTTACTCTGAATAACTTCCTGTGCCTGCCTAGATTGCAGTTGCTCTTGCAGTTGCAGCAATTCCTGAAGGGCTTCCAGCAGTCGTCACAACGTGAGTGCTTTGTACTTTACTTAAGTTAAATAATAATAATAATAATAATTCTATGAAAATTATGTGGCTGTTATGACCTTCACCAATATAATCTAGGAGTCTGCTTGCCGAGTAGTTCTGATGATGTGTGCGTGTGCGCATGTATATATTAAAAAAAAAAAAAATTTAAATAGAGGAAAGGGAGAAGTACATAAAGATTTAAATGAAAGAGCTTTCTGATGCTCCTGCATATCCACTAAGAAGGCACCTTCAAAACTGCTGAAACATAGCACCATGGTGAAGCCACTTCTACAGTTGCCCTCCCCCAAGTACATAATGAAGCCATTTCTGGATAATGAAAATTTTGAATGCTTTCTCAAGGCCATTTCTTTAACCTGTTCTTGTTTTAACATGAATGCGTCATATTGGAAGCTTAGTTCCCATATTTTGCTTCGTCATCTATTTCTTTCTCATTTAGGTGTTTGGCTCTTGGAACAAAGCGTATGGCTCGGTTGAATGCCATTGTGCGGTCTTTGCCATCCGTGGAGACTTTAGGCTGCACTACAGTAATCTGCAGTGATAAGACCGGAACATTGACAACTAATATGATGTCTGTCTCAAAGGTGATGACCTCAAAATATGTAAATACTGATGCAAAGTTATGAGTCAGAGGGACAAAGTGATGTTTGAATTAGTCACAGGGTACCTAAGCCATCCGTTTTATATTTTTTTTTCCGTCATTGTATATAATTTTTCAAGCGCCATGATCTCTGAGATTTGTAAAGGTTGAAGGATGTTTTATCATCTGATGATCTGCGAGAAAAAGCAGTGACAATAATAATGTTTGAATTAATCAAAGGGTAATAGAAATCTAAGCCATCCAGTTTTTGGTCTTTGTATATAATTTTTCATGGGCCACGTTCTCTGAGATCTGTAGAGGTTGAAGGATTCTTCATCATCCGATGCTCAATGAGATAAAATAGTGACATCCATTCCTTTGCCAGAGCATTTGATTCAAGACACTTTTTGGCAGCACTTATTTTTGATGTCTTAGTTAGACATCTTGATTAATGAAAAATAATTTTCCTGCTAATCTTTCTTCTCAGATATGTGTTGTTCATTCTGTTCATCGTGCTCCAACAATTTCTGAATACAATGTGAGTGGGACAAGTTATGCTCCAGAAGGCATTATTTTTGACAGCACTGGGATGCAGGTACTTATTTTGTTTCGGATTGTGGGGATTATATTGTAAACTCAGTATAAAAGTCTGTAAACAACTTATGAAGGTCTGTTGTGCTTTCAAATTTCTTTTTTATGCTTTCTGTTTATTTGGGAAAAAAAAGGGAAGAAAAGCAAAAGTAGGTGGTTTCTCTAAACCTCAATCCTTTAGTCCCGTCCAGCTTTGTCTTATTCTACTTTAGCGTTTTACTTATTGTCTTTACTTGATAATCATGTCTGCATTGGTCTTGTAACCTCTTGGCTACAGGATCGAGGCCTCTGGGCACCCATGTTTGTTCCAAAAAGAAAAAAACACTATGGAGTAGAACTATCTTCAGAGTTTGTTTTTTCAAGCTCTTGTAACAATCATGGCAAGATGTAGTTGTCATGAGGAGTTATTTGAGAGAATTATGTGGGATGGGTCGAATGTTGTGAGAACTTGGAATGTATTCCATGCTCAGAGGAGTGAAAGATTCTGGTAGTCTAGTTTTCCTTCTGGTTTGAGCTTGACTTGCATGATGTATGGCATACATAGATTTTAGGCCCATACACAGAAGAATTGCATCTCAGAGACAGAATTCAGAAGGATCGAATTTTGATTTTTGAATCAGATTGTGCGAGCAGCAGATGTTTCAGACTAGGTAAAGAACAGCCAATGGGATAGTCTAAGCTAATCTTTTGATCTTGATGTTTTCCTCTTCTTTTTTCTCGTAATAGTCACTAGATTCATTACCACCGCTACTGGTGCTAATTATTTGTAATATAAGCTACAAAATTGAGCACAATGCTGCCTCCCCCTTACACCACTGCTGCTTGCGAATGATGATTGGAATGATGATATGACTCTTCAGAATGCTAGGTCTTTTCAATGAGTTATGAAGATTATATGTGGAAGCTTACATTGTTTGTCACATTATCCTGATACACCATGACAAGATATTGAGGACATGTTGTGTAGCAAGCTAAAAGCGGTTGAGGGGCAGGGTTGCTCTTCCTTGTCCTTTTTGTCAGATAATTTGATTGGAACTTAAATCTCTTTTGCAGAGTTGATTCTTTTTTTTGTTCACATCCTTTTCTCTGTAAATTATGGCTGTTGGTACCTTTCTAGACAACTTCTCTTACTTAAAAGAGATACACTCGTTTATGTTTCATGACAACATGCTTTTAGTTGGTTCACATCTTCCCTTACGATTCCTTGTTACTGCTGCATCCTTTTGACCTTGATTTTTTTTTTTTTTTTTTTTGCAGCTTGAATTTCCAGCACAGTTGCCTTGTCTTCTACACATGGCTATGTGTTCAGCCATTTGCAATGACTCTATCTTACAGTATAATCCAGACAAGGGAATCTATGAAAAAATCGGGGAGTCCACTGAAGTAGCACTACGTGCTCTGGCAGAGAAGGTTGGCTTGTATAGCTTGGCAATATATATAGCAGCTAGATATTACCATAGCTGTCCAGTTTTTTCCTTCCCCCTCATCTCCATTTGGGACTCCCTTTCCCCTTTTTTAATGAATTTGTTCAATTCAGTGTAAATTTGTTTATTTTTGCTACATCTTTCCAGGTTGGTCTTCCTGGTTTTGATTCCATGCCTTCTGCACTGCATATGCTGAGCAAGCATGAGCGTGCGTCTTACTGTAATCACTATTGGGAAAGCCAATTCAAAAAGGTTTGTTTTTGTAAAATCTTCCTTATTTAGAGTTATTAAGTTCTCTTGTATAGTATAAGAATGTCAAACATGAATGGCAGTGAAGATCATGATTCATGAATGTTATTTTTTGTATAGCACATATGGCTCAAGATTGTTTTGTTCTCTCTCTGTTTTTTTTTTTCAATTAATGATGGATCGACAAAGGTGAGACTCAAACTCAAGATTGAATGATATTTTTTACATAGCATTATTTTTTTTTTCATGAAAATACCTATGACCTATATCTGTTGTTTCAGATTGTTCTTGATTTTGGGATTGTCTACTTGTTTTCTGCTGGTTCATTGGTAGTTAATTTATGAAGCAATTGACTTCATACACCATGTGTCCAGTAGCTGTTGCTCTTTTTCACTTCTTTAATAGTCTTTTACTTATTGTGATAGTTTTCTTCTCATTTGCACTTTTCTATTTGATTTTCGAGGTATATTAGCACCAATTGTCATGCATTGGTATATAGTTCCTTTAATATTCTATTTCAAATATTATAAGTTCTCTAAGGCAATGGCTGTGCAAAAATTTCATTCGCTTAAATTGGGCTGATGATTCATAAAATGGACCTTGAGAAATAGGTTATTCTGTATGGGAACATTCATTCTTCAGCTGTTCATTAAAATAAAATTCTGACTTCTGACGCAAGCTTAACATTTTGATGCTTTATAGGTTTCTGTTTTGGAATTCTCTCGTGATCGAAAAATGATGTCTGTCTTATGTAGTCGGAAGCAGACGGAAATTATGTTTTCTAAAGGTGCTCCAGAAAGTATTGTCTCTCGATGCTCCAATATTCTCTGCAATGATGATGGTTCGACTGTTCCATTGTCTGCTGCTGTCCGAGATGAGTTAGATTCAAGGTTCTGCAGGTTAGAAATGATGCAAAAATTTTTGTGGATGTTACTTGAGCCTCAATTATTTGGCACAATATGGTGAATTTTCATTCTTCAAGACTTGCAAGTGCAGACATGTTTCATTGTGGGGGACGTGTGGTGCTAGCATTCTTTTTCGACATCTTTATACTACATTTCAAGGATGAGTGAAGAGTACATGATATGAAGTGACAACATATTTTGAGTTCTTTGATGAATTTAGAGATTTCCAAGTAGTAAGATCTTGGCCGAACTAGTAAAAGTCCATGTAATTTCTAAATGAAATCATGCATGTACTTAGAATTTGAGTTTGATTCATGGAAGCTTCAAGCTGTCTAACAGAAGATGAACATATATTCATGGCTTTTCTTAGAAGGCTTAATCTAATATGATATTTATGGAGTCACCTTTCACCAAGGTGGGGTTATGCTTCCCAGTTAGTCATTTTCCTCAGGTTCTCTTCTCTTCACTGACCTATATTTAACTTCCCCAAGTTTCCATAGTGCTAAATCATTCACGTTGACTCTTCCACTATGGTAGTGTTTTTATGCAAGTTTTGACTTTCACTCTTTTTCATTGTATGCCTTTTGATCTCCTTCATGAAAATCGCTGCTCTTGTAGATGAGCCACTGTCTTGACTATTATATTTAAGATTCATCACGTGAGCAAATATTGTTGGGTTGTGTCTGCAATTCAAAATTTTTGTTCGCAGTATGACATGTTTCTTGATCAGTTTTGCAGGAAAAGAAACATTGAGATGCCTGGCTCTAGCTTTCAAACAGATGCCCATTGGTCAACATTCTCTCTCCTTTGAAGATGAGAAGGACCTTACATTTATTGGGTTGGTATGCTTTCTTTTCAAAATGGAACACTAGATTAAATGGTGTCTATACTTGCTGCCATTCATTTAATCATTTATGTTTATCTATATGCATTCCTCTTAGCTACGTTCATTTATACCATGAGGCGATGAACTTGTAAAATGAAATTTCTTGGCGAACAAAGGTTTTTGCTAGAAGGCAAAGAAGGCAGAATGAATAAATAAGGAGGAGCTGAATCTGATTCTTTTGTCTTCTTCTTCTTCTTCTTCTTCTTCTTCTTTTTTTTTTTTTTTTTTTTTTTGTGTTATCACCTTGTGTCATCCTTTGAATGACAAACCATGAGTAGGAAAACTAGACCTGGACTTCTGAAACTTTGTGACCACATTCTGAAATCTATATAGTTTCCTATCATATGTTAGTACTTTTATGTTTTCAGAACCTTCTCTTAGTTCCAGTTTGTTTTCTTGCACTGCATTATATGTGGTGGTGAGTACATGACTTTTTGTGTGTACCCTTTTGTATCAGTGTGCACTATTGCACCCCCTGCTTGTCTGTATTTGTGGTTCTGAATTCCTTCACTTTTTAACTATTGAGGATTATTCTTCCTCTTCTCACATTTCTTTGCATTTGCTCCTTTACTTTAATTAAAGGTCGGGATGCTTGATCCACCTAGAGACGAAGTGAGAAATGCTATGCTCTCATGCATGACCGCTGGTATACGTGTTATAGTTGTCACGGGGGACAACAAGGTAGCTTAAATCGAGATGTATATTTTTCTGAAATATGGTATAAGTTACATGTTCCCATCTTTCTGGTTGCCTTTCTAATTCAATTACTTCTTCAGTCAACAGCAGAATCACTTTGTAATAAGATTGGTGCTTTTGATCATTTGGAAGATTTTGCCGGACGTTCATACACTGCTTCTGAGTTTGAAGAGCTTCCTGCTTTGCAGCAAACACTGGCTTTGCAACGCATGGCACTTTTTACCAGGTATGGTCTATTCTGTATGTTATTGTTTTCATAAATTGCATGAGTATATCAAGCGCCATGCCATCTTCTTATTCTCTTAAATGTTCCATCCTTTCCTATGCACAAATGTTTGTTATTTTTGTTGGAATTTTACTAGCTTGTTTGGTTAACATCCTCTTTCTCTGTTTTGTTAGGGTTGAACCTAGTCATAAAAGGATTCTGGTGGAGGCCTTGCAACATCAAAATGAAGTGGTACCCTTAGTTTTCGTTTTCAGCAGAATGTTTATATCTATATTTATACTAGAAAATATAGATGTGCAATGCATGAACCAAATTTTGAACGATAAATATGCTATTATTAAAACAAACACTCATGTGTTTTTATGGGTTTTTAAGTTTTAGATGGTAAAGTTTGAATTAGAAAAAAAAAAAAATTACCATTGTAAGATCCATATAATGAGCAAAATTCTTGCGCAATACCTTAATAGATAAACCTAAAAGGATCCGTACAATGTATTACGTTGTTTTCTACTGTAGGTTTTCTCTGTGGTTCTATTACTTCCCCTTCTATGCTGAAAATCATCTATCTTGACTTGTTTAGGTGGCAATGACTGGTGATGGTGTCAATGATGCACCTGCACTAAAGAAAGCAGATATAGGAATTGCCATGGGGTCTGGAACAGCAGTTGCAAAGGTAGCCTTCTATGGATGCATTTAATAGTACATTAATTGATGATTGCCTCTTCCTATGCAGTGTTCATAAATCATGTCTCTTCTTAGTTCTCTCTCTCTGTTTACACACACACACACACACACATTTATGTATGGTTACAAAATTTTAGCAGAACTTAGTCAAATGATTTGGTGCCTGAGTTACCTGAATGTAACTTTTTCAATCGAGGGGGAAAAAAGAAAAAGAAAAAGTTTTCTGCAGAATCTTAACCTTAATGACTCACTGTGAAGTTTTGTTTCAGTTCTTAATATGGCGGGAAAGCTATATGCAGTGGTGAAACTTTAATAGTCAGCTTCATAGTTTTACATGAATAATATCAGAAGATTTGTGTTAGCTGATCCAGTTAAAAGTGTAAAACATGATAGATCGTTATTAGCAGACGCACTGTTTATCAGTTTCTGATATTTAATTATCCCAATATTTTTATTTATTGTAATGCATAGACCCCTTAAATTTCTGACCATCTGTATTCTTGTTTCAGAGTGCTTCAGATATGGTTTTGGCAGATGACAATTTTGCTTCCATTGTTGCGGTATAAGAGACCTCCCCACCCTCTTTTCTGCAGTAGCTCCATTGCTTCTTTGTTACATCTGCACTGCACTGTCTGCTGGTTCTCATTGTTTTGTAATTGTTTTTGTTCTTGAAAAAGACATATTATGCAGCTAGAATATACGTATGCATGTCCTAGGATTGAATGTTGACAACTTTTGAGTCATCAGAATATGATTATTATCCCATCCATATAGCTCTTCAAATTGAACTTGATATTCTATAATCATAAACAAATTATTGCAGCACAGTTGGATTAAGCAGCTTTGTGTCCAAAGGACTTAAAAATTGAAATATGTAATTTTCTCTGAATAACACATTAAATTTAATGTGTTATTTAGATAAAAATTGGATTATATAAAGTCGTTTGGAGGTATAAGTTGTTTGCCTTGCACCAAGTGGATCCCCATCAATAAGTACCTAAGTTTTCAAATATGGTTTGTGCTATTCTATTTCTCAACAAGCTGATTCCTATACAGGCTGTTGCTGAGGGAAGGGCTATATACAATAACACAAAGCAATTCATCAGATACATGATCTCCTCAAATATTGGCGAAGTAGTTTGTATCTTTGTGGCAGCTGTACTTGGAATACCTGATACCCTGGCTCCTGTGAGTGTTTTAGTGTTTTACTTTAATATTTCAACAGTGAACTCATTTTGCACAAAGAGAGAGGGAAATGCTATTACTATTTTGCACCAGAAAAATAATTGTTTGGGTTGCTCGTCCATTATTAGCTTCTTTTCAATGCTGGTCAAAATGAAAGAGCTGGAATTTAATTTTTTTTTATCGCTTCCAGGTCCAACTGCTCTGGGTCAATTTGGTTACTGATGGATTGCCTGCCATTGCTATTGGCTTCAACAGGCAAGATTCTGATGTGATGAAGTCTAGACCTCGCAAGGTATTGATTTAATGATTTGGACAGTTTTAGTTTATTTAATAGACCTTTCTAGCAGGGTGGATTTGTTTGATTGTGTGAATGGTTGCCAGTACTTGTCTGGTGCGTTTTGCAGTGCAACCCAGCCCCTTGAACAAAAGTGGGACGATGAATAATCGGCAACATTAGCTGGGCTGGATAATATAGACTTTGTGTTTAAGGTTGGGCTTATTGTGTGGTAATATGCCATTTAATAAGGCTAGGATTAGGATGCTATGCGTCTAAAGGTGCTCCATGGATATTCTTCTGATAATTTGAACCCTTAAGTGGCAGTAACTGATGTTAATCATTGCCATATATGTACATGAGATGGTTATTTTGTGAATGAACTTCTGTTGAATTGCTGGATTGTTTAGAGTTTTGTTTGTTGCTTTATCTTTTCCTTGTTTGCTGTGTTCCCTCTCTAAGCTTTGAAGAGTTAGTAGTAAGCATGAATGAGTCTTACAAGCAGGTGGGAAAATACGTCAGGTCTGGCCTGATGCCTGGGGAGATTGTCTTAATGGATCTTTGAAGGAGAGCTGGAGAGGAACATGCATTGATATGGTCTGACCTGCATGTTCAGGATTGCTCATTTTTCTTTTATCTTCTCGGACTTTTACTTGTTTTCATATCTTCCCCTTTTTGTAAGATTCTTCTTTGCTTTAGACATCTTGTAAATGGGGGCTGTGCCTTTTGACCTTTAAGAATAAAGAAAGAGCTAGAGAACTCTCAAAAAATGAAAAATAATAGTAAGAAAATAATCCAAAGAAAGGGAAAAAAAAGGGAAGGTGAAGAATAAACAAAGGAGCGAAAGAGCTAGATACGCTGGCAATTTTCTTTTTCCTTTTCTGTATGAACATCTTTGATTTAAAGTTAAGCATGTTTGCTTAGCATGATTCCATGTTTTATAAGATTTTCATATGTGAGTTGTAGGTTCTACTCTCATAGCTCATCACTCTTTCCAGTTGTCAATGTTGAATATCATTTTTTTCAATTTAATGTGCAGGTGAATGAAGCAGTTGTTAGTGGGTGGTTGTTTTTTCGTTATCTGGTAATTGGAGGTAATAAATGATGATAAACCTATTGCTTGTGGATTGCTATCATGCTGATCATATGTGCTACTTTTGTATAATTTGGTAATTTCATGCTTCTTGCAATGCGATTAACTCAAGGTAGTATTTTTTGCTGCATATGGCATAATTAGCTTACCCTCATAGTGGCATTCACACGTATATTCATATTATAGCCAGCAATTTATGAATGATAAAAACTTTCCTTTCAATAATTCAAGTAAGTGTTTGAGATACTAATTGAATTAATGCAGGCAATTAAGGGTAATTTTTTAAAAAATAATAAAATGTAGAGGATTCTTTTGTCTGGAAAAAAATGGTAGACAACTGAAATCAATATGATATATAATTAGGGATTTTCTGCATTTCCTCCCCAAGATCAGTGTACTATGTAGGAATCACAATCCTGGAATCCTTGTTAGTTTGCAATTTTGAAAAAGGAGAAATATTTACTTTTTCTTCTGATTATGATGTGCTTGATTCAAATTTGCAACAAATTCGAATTCTAGAGGTTTTTGATGTAGTATCTGGTTGATGCAGCTTATGTTGGCCTTGCTACTGTTGCTGGGTTTGTGTGGTGGTTTGTATACTCTGACGGTGGTCCCAAACTACCATACAAAGAACTGGTAAGGTTTAATTTCTTAGTGTGTGTACTTTCTGATAGGTCAAAGTTGAGTCTTTGCTGGGCTCGATCTCCTTATGTTTTTTGAACTGGAGATCTGATCTGTGTGGCAATGGCTAAAAGAAGTGAAGGCGCAATTTTGTGTTGGGACAGTTCCCATGATTAGTGCCTTGGAGTTGCTTGTTGCGACTTTCAGAATCTTTTTGAGTTCCTCTCAATCAGGCTTGAATATTTCCAGCTTTCTGCATCTCCTTTTCTTGTGTTATTATTCGTTGTTTTGAGATCAACTCATCCTTAAATTTCTGGTGGTGCTAAACTTGAAGTTGATGTTGAACTTGTTTAGTAAAGTTTTGTGCTTATAATAATTGATTGGGATTCTTTCAGGAAAAAAAAAATGAAAACCTAAGTGACCAGTTAGCATGCACTGAGCCCTTTTTTTTTTTTTGGTTAGCATGCCATGACTGTTTTGGTTTCTTTGTTCCCAGCGTAGATAAATACATTTCACTTGTATGTTGCTGTGCATGTTTTTCAAATTCCATGACAGAACTTTATTTATTTATTTATTGCAGATGAATTTTGACAGTTGCTCAACAAGGGAGACAACTTACCCATGCAGTATATTTGATGATAGGCATCCATCGACTGTATCTATGACAGTCCTTGTTGTTGTTGAGATGTTTAATGCTTTGAATAATCTCAGTGAGAATCAATCTCTTCTGTGAGTACTCAGTTTGATTTTAAAGTTCTTGAACGCTTTTGTCGCATCAATCTGCTCAATTGCCTAGAGTGCTTTGATGTAGTTTAATGGTAGTTTCTAGTTAGATGAATGAAATACAGTATCAACATTTGTCATTAGATTTAACTACGCCAACTCTTTTTCCCCATTTAAGTGATTGTCATTTCCCTTTTTCCCACACTATTATTCAATGAAAAGAAGAAGAAGCTATATTAGGACTGAGTTGGCACTGTAATGTTTTTCTCCCTTTTTTTTTTTTTTTCCAGTGTTATCCCTCCCTGGAGTAATTTATGGCTTGTTGCTTCAATTGTCCTGACCATGCTCCTTCACATACTGATCTTATATGTGCCCCCTCTATCTATTCTTTTCTCCGTAAGTTTTCTTTCCTTGCCATACCATATGATATTTTGCAAGTAATAATATATATATATATATATTTTAACCTGTAACCGTAAGGGACTAAACAATTTGCAACATATCTCGTTTCAGGTAACACCATTATCTTGGGCTGAGTGGGAAGTTGTCTTATATCTTTCCTTCCCTGTATGTAGTGGATCTTGACGTTCCCAGTTTACTATTTTTGGAACTTATTTTTTTCTGTGTTTTGCTTGTCATTTTTTTATCCAATGAGATTCTTGAGATGTTGAATATAGTTGCTGGAACTTAGAACCATGTTGCTTTGTAGTAGTTTACCTTCTAATATGGTAAAAACAATGACATGTTTTCAAGTTTCCATTGTGGGTGATATGTTTTCTGATAATTCATGCTTGTCTTAATAGATGTGGCACAAGCACGATTGGACTGGATTTTAATTGATGTTGGATGAGGAGTTTTTATAGTTAAGAATACTGTATCCAAGCTGGGATCATAGCAACCCCTTAGTCTGTTTTCTCATGAACTTGATGCCACTTCTTTGCCCTTTTGGTGCATGCATTCTATCCTTGGGTGAAGTAAAATAGAGGAAGGTTACCTTTCCTGAATTTTAGACAATGTATAGCCATTTGAATCTTTGAATTTTCTTTGTCTTGGTTGTACGCAAGTAGTGCCTGAGTGATTGCATTTCAAATATTTTAAGCTCGGTTTCCTTCCATGATACTTCTAATGTTGTTTTTTGGTGTAGGTCATAATTATTGACGAAGTCCTAAAGTTCTTCTCAAGAAATTCCAATGGTAAGTTCATTGTTTTGCTTCCTCAGTCTCTTTTCAATTTCTTGTTATTTGGTAGGAGATATTATTAAGAGGATAATTACTAATTGGAGATCAAACCTGGATCAAGATGAGAAGGCATCAACTCCCTACTCCTCTAGACATAAATTTCAAACACTTCTCTCATAACCACCCTATGCTTCTGACTGATGATATCTCGATGAGGGGTTGAAATGTGAATCCAACCAATGGTGTGACAACTTCCCAGACAAGCCTCTAATAAGAGAGAAAAATCTAGAATTCCTGGGCTGGGACCTCCACACAAATACCCATGTCAGACACTGGTACGAAGATCCTTAGGTTTGCAAGCCTTAAGGCACATTAACCAATCATGTACCCAGTCCTGTCCATCACTCAAACGGTATTCCATCTCTTGAGATGTTGCCAAAACTAGCACAACTTCCCCCATAATTTAATTTCGCTATCTGAGAATCCCTTGTCAACAAAGTTCTTCTTTCAAGGTGAGTTTTTTGGTTCTCTGATAACCCCAACAGCATACCTCTTCGATCAACTCTGTGTGCATGCTGCAATTAACATTTTGGTATTGATGTTCGTATGTCACTTTGCTTTCTCTCTTTTTTCCTTCCTCTCCCCCCCCCCCCTTCCACTTCAATATACACACACAGTTGTGTAGTGGTTGCAAACCTTGACCCACTTTCTTCCACTTGCATCCCTAATCTCCCTGCTCCTGCCCTCAGTTTGAGGATGATTCACTGCTTTTCTGTCTTCTCTCCAAAATGGGCAACATATACTCAAGTTTTGTTTACTATTAACCGACACCCTGTTTAGTTTCTTATCATGACTGCCACAGCCTTGAAGTTTTTTATTCTTAAGAAGCTGGAGCATCTACCTGTTTCACTTAAGTCATCCCGTAAACACAAATGCCACCAACCACATGCTTCAGGGAGGTCTCTTACTGGCGGGAATATCCTACTGGAGTACTGGGGTGGGGGGCGTTAAGCCTTTATTAATAGAATGACGTGAAAGAGTTGGAGTGAGGTGAGGGTTGGTGCGAGTGGGTGGTTTGCATTAAGGTTGGAACAGGGGAATGAAGTGGTTAGATGACTAGATGTTCGTATCATCGAACTGGTATACTACTCTATCGGATAGATCAGATAACATTTACGTGGAACATTTCAATGCATGATTATTTGTTTGTTTGTTTGTTTGCATGCACGTGCACAAAGACACACACACAAATGCCAGTGATGGTTATATTATGGATGGAAATATATGGTGAGAGTTTGTTTTCAAACAAATTGCAAATAGTTTTATTCTCCTTGGTTGCAGGCGTAAGGTTTGGTTTGAGATTCAGAAGGCCTGATTTACTTCCAAAAAGAGAATTGCGTGATAAGTGAGAAGGAATCCTTGTGCAGTCAAATTTTGTCCGCACACCAAGTCATACTGTACACAATTTGTCCTCCGTTGAATGGACCTTCCATCTGGTCTCCCTGCAAATGAGACCCGCTCATGTCGGGCCTTTTACACACCATTGTTTTGTTCTATGTTAGAGTTCCATCGTCTGGGTCCAAAGAGCTAGTAGTTTATTGTATACTTATTATGTGGTTAAATTTCTAATCAATTTTGTTAATACAAGAGGTACCGAACTGTATGGGCCGACTTTTGAGTATCAAGGGCCGATATTACTTTTCTTTTGGGCGTAAACATGTTTTAGCCTGTTGAACGCCTAAAGGTTATTTGGCTGTTGTTCTTGATCGTTCTTGTGCTGACAATATTTGAAAAAAACCACTTAAGAACCTTATTTGTTATATGAAAAAGCGAAAACCGTTTCGTATATCTACATATCCAGATTTGTAAAATAAATCCACTTCGACAGTTGCAGGGAAACAACAATTGCAGTGGAGCCGAAACCCATGTTTAGACGATCATAAAGGAAAATGTAATAATACCAGCCCATCTATCACGTTACGGTAGCTAGATAACTTTCAAACGAACAAAAAGCTAGTAAAAAGAGATGCAATCGGAATTGCTAGTTGCTACTTAAAAATAATTAAAAAAAAAAAAATTATTATTATTAAATCAGCACCGAATGTGAAACGATTGTTACCATAGTTAACAAAAATTTGAAATTACGCCCATCATTAAACAAAATGACTAAAACATTAGAAATTTCATGCCAGGAGCATCTGAACAGGAAGAAACTAATACACCCGTGTGACTCAGGAATGAACTGATCCAATTGCTATTATAAATAATGGACCTATGCATTGACGATTTGCCATGCATGGACTTTCAGGTTTTGGCCGCCACCAGCTACAAAGGCTCTTGAGCTATCTACCTTTTAAACATGGCAAACCACACTACAGCACGTAAGCGCAACAGAATGAAGCAAAAATACTGTCAACTAATTTTCATACAGAGAGAATCATTGGTATATGCACAGAAATGGAAAATTTTTTGCCTTCAAAGTTGCAAATTGTCATCAGATTAGAGTAACTTCTTGTGTATCTACTAAAGACAAATATCAAAAGCTCTTGCTTATCATGAATAAAACCAGCAAAGCAAAAAATCGAAAAACAAAAGTAAAGTTTATTCGGAGGACATACCCTGCAACTTGGCTTTGAAGGCACCAAGCTCGCCAATCATAAACAATGCAGTAGTTTAGAGATCTTATCCATGCTTAGTTCCCAAGAATGGCACAATCATGCTATGATCCCCACCGTGTCAAGGTAAATAAGGACTCCGTGATTCAGGAAATTAAAATTATGATGTAGTAAAATTAGTGAAACAAAATAGAGTGATCTAACCTTTAAATCAACTTTTGTTGCAAGATATACATGATACTTTGTACTGTTGCTAATATCAAATTCGTGAGGTAATCTATAATTGCATCCCTGCCATTTCCCTATAGTTCCCCTGCACAAAAAAAGTTTATGCATCATTCTTCAGCTGCTTTGTTGCTGGTTCAAAATTCCTTTCAGCTATCAATCTCATATACCTCTTGCACATGAAGCGCTCGCAGGACATTATTGTCATCGACCCAACATTTAGATGGCAAATATCCATAAATCTGGCCGGAAGAAAACACAAGTTAGGAAATACGGGAAGTGACCTTATGAACAAGTTAATAAGAACGAAATGGCATTTGGAAAATGCATTTTGTTGGCTTAGTGAACTATAATGTAGTATATGCATATGCTGGAAATTAGCGGCAAGAGGATGAGGAATACACGACATCCAAGGCTTTGGGGAAGCATGAGCACAAAGAGGTTCCAAAATATGAGCAGTCTCAATTCCTGAGGTACACTGACAAAGCAAATTGCAGAACATGCACAAAATTAGAAAACATTACAGCCAATAATATGACAACAAAGGGACTTGAAAAGAGTACACAATATTATGGCTGTGTACCTTATCAAATGCCCGCATATATCTCAAATACTCTGCATTGCTAGGGTCTTTAATTTTATACTCTCCTCGACAACTTTTCTTCAAGAACAGGAATAAGTTGTAGTCTAGTTACATACAGACATGGTTCCAAAGTTCTTCCAACTTTCTCTCATCAATTAAATTGTTCCTTCCTCTCTTTTCCCAGTAACTAACGAATTTAGTCTAGTAGAGGTTCTGACTTCTCAGAGTTATCAACTCATAGAGTTCATCAGAAATAATCCCATTCCACAGGCAAATGGGATCTTTGACTTGCTCTCAATTTTGAAATCTGAAATAGGATTCCCAAGCAGGTATCCCTTATACCATGCAAAACCAAAACCTCAATAGTAATATTGGATTGGAATCACAGCACAAGAAACATAATGTTCTTGTATGTAGATGTTTTGCCAGAAATGTGACACATTTGGAAGCATCTTGAAAGGACTGACTGGAGAAAACTAGTATAGTTTCAGTGTCGTCAGTCAATGATTAAATCCAGGTTATGCACCAAATCAAGTAGATCCTACAGTCTTGTTAGTACCATTCATATGGCACAAAAGAGAGAGAGAGAAAACTATATGATAACAAACCTTAAGATTTACCAGCGGTTTAACACCCTCATCGTTCCCTGCATAACCAAAACATAGCTAAACGTGTAATTTCAAATAATGTTAAGAAAGGCATGATCAAATACTTCACACGGTAGCTGCTTATGCTCTTTTGAACAGCACACATGCAATTAGGAAAAAGTTCTACCATTTCAATGTTAGTAAAACCTTCCTTCATTATCGTACCATTCGAGATCTGTTGAACCACATCTGGAAGAGTAATGCCAGAGTACGAGTCCTCGCCAATGTAAACAGGATTTGGGAGGAATTCTGGATGGTCCATTAGCCACTACATAATGCAACCAAAATAAGCGACAAGTGACAACATCTTGCGTCTATCAACCATCTTGACAGGTGCTGAAAATTACCTTTCTAAGAAATTGGTCAGATTGGTAAAATTGTATCAAGTCATCTGTTTGAGAAGCAAAGTCGTTTCTTGCATAGGAAAATCCAGTACCAACAGGCATATCGACAAATATTACTGTGGCTACCTGAAAATTGATTCCCATCCATCCATGAATATATGCGATCTGATGAATATAGTTCCATTGGATATAAGCCACTGTCACCTTCGTCCATGTGTTTGGATTCAAGACCAATGTAGGCAAACTCCCATTGTACTCGACTATCTCAAAATCTATTGGACCTGCATAAATTCAAAGATCAAGAACTCACGAAATTCAATGTTCTTGATAAAATGATTTTGATTAATGATTGTCCATTAATTGCAATTCCAGAAATGGCCCAAGAAAGTTGAGTAACCTCCTGTAGATCACTCTTGATCAATGTTACTATATAATGCTACTTACTAATTTCATAAACAAGACCAGACAAGGCAGAGCAGCCAGGACCACCGACCACCAGTTAGCCAAAGCAAGAGAGGGTCCTCTTTGGCATTCCGTTGGGACTTGACAAAGTAGTAGAAGAGCTGCACATCCTCTGCTTCGTCAACGCCAACATATCTGATTCATCTACCCCAAGATCAAAACCAACGGCAATGTCAGAAATGTTAATTGCATGTACAACAGTGATTAACCATGACTCGTACTCACCCAGTTGCAAGGTGAAATGGAAGCGGCCCTTGAAATCCTAGAAGAAAGTCAACTACTGAGGGAGAGGCTGCAAGCTGTGAGCAAACCTGTAACAACGGAAGAGAAAGAAAGTATAATATGCCCATTGGTTTTGATCTCGACTTTTCCTTGCCGCTAGTAATACTAATGATTCTTTAATGTTGCTCAAAGTTCATGGCAGTTGAGCAAATATGATTACCGTGGCAAAAAAAAAGTACAGGTGCGGAGAAATAGACTTTTTTCATATGAAACTACTACTAGAATAATCTTGAATTTAGATCATCCACGTGAATCATCTGTAGTAATTAACGACGAAGGGAACAGTGTATGATAATAAATGCAGTTCTACAGCTTTCAATTATAGACTCAGCATTGAGTTTGGTCAGAGAAAAAATAATAATAAATCATGGGACGGTGGTCAATACTTTCTCCACTTTTAGATGCTGCCTGTCCCTTCCTCAAGAACATAAGGCTTCGCCAAATCCTAAATAAACTAAGGCATCTAAACCATAAGAGACTTCGATAAAGTCATCAAAATCATCTGACAGTCAATCGGGATGAGAAGGGCGTCACTATTCTTTTTGTTGGTGACAAGAAAGATGACATGAAGTGTTTTTTGTACTAATCGACTTTCAAGATTTTACTGCTTTGTTGCTCACTTGCTTTCCTCGACAGTGAAAAGCGACAACAATCATTTGATTAGTGCATCCATTTACTTTTACCTTGGAGACAAAGCTACAGGGTTATGCAAATCGATGCACACAAGATGCAGAAATTTACTACCCCTGCTATTTTAGTTCTGACACCTCCAATCTTAGGACCAGGGAAATAAATGTTCAAGTGATGATTATAGCTTCTCAAATTTAAAGGAAAAACTGTTATACGTCTAAGAAAATGATTTGTCATTGTAACCCTGAAAGATTGCCGCGAGTTCTTTTTTTTTTTCAGTTTTCTTTTCTCAGCCGTTAATTAGTAAATTAGTAGCCAATAAGCAGTCTCTCCCTCCCTGAAACTTCAAACCATCTCTTGTAGTCCATTATCAATTTTGTGCCTAAAACATTGTAAAAAGAAAGTGCATAAAAACAGAAGGGAAGGAAAACAAGAACATGCATGAAATTGGAAAAAAAAAAAAATTCCTCATTGCTGTCCAAATGTTACATTCCCTGCACGCTTATATTATATTGCAATGATGAGAACGAAGGAAATCTGTTATTTCACAGTGGACAATATTTCTACAGTATAAGTGCGGATTCAACTTTCCTCTTGGTTGTAAGATTAATATACATGTTTATCTATAACAGAGATTGCTAACACGAATCAAAAGCCTTTCCATTGTCAGGTCGATATGAACTATCAACGACATTTTCCATTTCCATAGCCACGGCCTCTCCATTTCTCATTTCGTCCTCCGCTTTCTCGACTTTCAATTTCTGTCAGAATATTAAAGACAATCATCTCTGCCATCCTCTCCAAATGAGGTATAAACTAGCTCGATTAAAGTTTATAAAATAATCCAATCATAAATTAACAGCATTTGAAACCATTTCCGAGCATTTCCTCATGCTGGAAAAGCACCCCTAATGTTTCCAGCTTTGAAATTTAAGACTTCTAAAACATGGTTAGTGTCACTTTACCTTGGTTAGAGCAGATGATTGCTTTTCCATATAGGCAAACATGTTGGAATAGAGCTTTGCATCTCTCTTGTTACTTTCTGCTTTAAGTTGTTTCAATTTCTTCTGAATTAACTTCACCTCCCTGAAAAGGAGCCATGTTAGCATTAATACCACAGACCAAGTACAGGAAAATCTTAGCTGTAAGCCTATAACAATGTACTCTGTCCGCTAATACCTGTTCTGAGGATCAACGTCGAGAGCTTTCTTAATGTCCATTTCAGCTGAGACCAAATCAGCAGTTTTGATGAATGCTTGTGCCCGCCTATAAAGAGCTTTTATGTTGTGGAACTCAATATCCAATACCTATAAGGGATCAAAGTTCAAAACACAGAATACAACATGTTATTTTGTCTTGTATAATCCCTGTCTGGGCATATATAATGCTGAAGGCTGAGACGATTTGCTCCTCTCTAGCCATGTTCAATAGCAGCTCCATTCTTCAACCCATAATCAGTTAAAATGAGCAGATCAATTTTACTGAACAGCCTAGAGTCATCATTTCAACAAAAGCAAAGGAAATTTTTAGCACTATAAGAGCTTCAGAAATGACAAACTCAAGCAAAAAAATTCCATATCAGTATATAATTCTATGTCCTAGAATTAACTTTAGATATCCCTTACCTCACACTCAATTCTTATGTTTATTATTTTATTATCAATTTTCCTACTTCCAAATACAACTTCTCTCCCTGAAACATGAATTTTCAAGCAATCTAATTATTTAATTTTACAGCATTCAGCGACTGCTTTCATTGATGCACCTTACCTTTGAGCATAAATTGATTGCTCCCTGAAAATCATTAAGTTTGAGGCTACATGCTGCCCCATTCAGCCAGCAAGTTACTCTCAGTGCTGCAACCAGCTTTTGTTCATCATCCTCAAAGGATTCATCTTCACCAACATAACTTGCAGCCTGACAGGATGGGACTAGAAGTTAAAACTAAATAGAATCTCTAAATTTGACAGTAAGCAATGAAATATGCAAGAAATCATGCACTGAACTACCTTATCATACTTTTTACCAGCTCTTTGATACTTCCCGCTTTTAAATAGCAGATTTCCTTCTTCTTTCTTTCCCTCAGCAGCCTTGATTTTCTCCTGACTATTCATCTCCCATGGTGTTTTCTCCTAATTGTTGAACAACAGAAAGTGTGAGGTCAGAACCAACTTAAACTAGAAAAGAAACTTGGAGGGGGGGGGTGTTTGGGGGAAGGAGCAGCTTAACAAATAGCCATCTCTGATTGCATGATTTATCATGCGTTATTATATTGACAATAGTCAGTAGTATCTCATCTGCAGTTGTACCACACAATCACTAAACTCACTACCTTGATAAAATCTAACATTTCAACTTCATAGACTAAGATTGAAGATGGGGGTACAACAGCAAGATCCCTCTTTGTTTCAATGCTTCCAAAGCCGTATTCTGGATTTACTGTTAATATTGCCTGTTCCCCCTTCTTCATTGTTGCCACAGCTCGATCTAAACCAGCAATCACTTGCTCTACATACAGAAAAATGTAATATTATTCTATTAGCAAATATCAGAAACAGCAAAGAAATACCATAAAGAAGAGATTGAACCGAATTAGAATTAAACTAACCTTCATCTGTTATAAATTGCAAAGGCTGCTCATCATCAATTCCTTTCTTTTCAATCACAGTTCCATCCTCTAGCCTAGCTGTATAGCTAACTGCATGAAGAATTTTGTAACAGTAAAATAACTTTGGAGCACACGTTTATGTGATGCCAAGGTTAAGAATTTTGTAACAGATTAATATCTTTGCTCCCTGGATCAGTCAGTCCTTAAATAAGTTGGTTAATAGTCTTCCTGGTAGTGGAAGAGTCAGTTTATGTTGTATTTTCTGAATGCCCGTTATTCAGGGCATAAATGGATTCACCAAGAAAAGGAGAGAGGGATTCAATGTCAAATATACAAAAATATTCCCATCCAACTACGCAGGTATTTGTACATGCAGCTGGAACTAATCAAGTATTCCCCATTCACTAAGGTTTACCTCTAAACAGGTTTTTATATATGCAGCACATTAATTTCATTTTAGACCCCAAGTCAGATGTCACTTTGCAAAAACTAAATTGATGTTGCCCATATCAAAATGCTTACCAGTTACTGTTGCACCTTCATTTGCAACAAGGGAGCCCTCCCCCTCTTTCAAAATCTTCTTGAAGACCTTGGCATCACCAATAACATCAATAACAACTTTAAAGGATATCAATTCCAGATCAATGTACAGTGTAGAATTTGGTGGGACTGGATGAATAGCATCACTACTAGCATCTTTCCCTTCCTGTCCAAAAGCATCTGCAAATATCATTTTTCCAGATTAAGGCCTAAAATTAAAATTTAAAAGAAGGGAGCCTATGAGATATACAGCTAAAAAAAGCATAAAGTTTGGACTCAATATCAAGATGAACTACGGCATAACCTTTCATGCAAGAATTAACTAATGGTGGTGAAGGACATACATTGAGGTTGAACAATTAGTTTGACTTTCTCTCCCCTTTTCATGGTCATGATTGCTTTCAGCAATGCTGGACATAAATGACCTGAATAAAAGCACAAGTTTTTGTAAAAAAATATCGGCATCATCAATAAATAATTTATAGTCCCACACAAGTTCCAATGGATCAACATTACCATCTTTTACACAAAATTCAACGCCTTCTACTGGTGTTTTTGCAACAATAGAGCCATCAGCAAGTGCCACCTGATACTTCACTGCATTTTTAGCAGAAAACCGCCCACATCATTTCACTCATAAATTCAAAATGATTAACAGAAAGGAACAAAAGAACATAATGAGCAACCAAAGTACCAAGGACTTCATCCAAGTCACCAGGACGCTCATTCTTCTCTCCCTTCCCCACAATTTTCTTTATAATTCCACCATCTTTGCTCACATCTACCACCGTAATCCACGAAGCAAGCTCAACCTCAAACTGAACAAAAGAATTCGGCTGCACCACATCACGCCCTGCCACTCCAAAGCCCAATTCAGGAGGCAACGTGAACAATGCACACTCCCCCTTTTTCATGGTAATAATCCCCCGATCCAATCCAGCCACCACTTCCCCTATTAGACCCACAGACATAAGCACCGATCAATCTGAAAACACAAATTAAGAAACCCCAAGCAGAGACATTTTTTTATATATATAAATAAAACAGAGAGAGAGAGAGAGAGAGAGAGAGAGAGAGAGAACAACTAACCTTGACCAAGTTTTATAGTCACAGATGAATCCGTATCTCTTGTGGAATCAAACTTAGTACCATCAAGTAATGTGCCCACATAATGAACTGCATTCAGATCAAACGAACACCAAGTTCTCTCAAAATTCATCACAAAAAACCACACTTGTATGACTAAAAAAACTTCAAAACCATAATTACTAATAAACAAGCAAATGTTGTAGTAAAAAATATTAGTACTTGTAACTTCATCATTGAATTCTGGGGTTTCCCATCCAAGGCCACGCTTGAGGAGCTTCTTCTTTATACCAGAATTACCAATCTCTCTCTCTTCACCAACTTCGAGAGGAGGAGCTGATTCGATCACCTCCCCTGGTTCTTCATCGAGGTCTTCCTCGTCTTCAATGTCTGACAAGTGTGTCCCTTTCCCTAAACCCATATAATACCTCCGTCTACTTTAAATTCTCGGCCTCCGATCAATTGCACAGAGATTTTTACTTTTTCGAAGGTGAGGAATGAGAGATGTTGTTAGCGGTGGCAGTAGTAGTGATAGTAGTGGTTTCTGGAGTCTGATGCTTCGAGACGGGACGCGAGGAGTCCGAGGTAATTTTGATGTTATCGGGGTAAGGGCATGTTTTGTGATTTTGGCTGGATAATAATTATAGCAAACCTAAGAAAGTCCTACACTTATTGGAACATATCGATTGGGTCCCTATTCTTTTCTTATCTCAATTCCTAATGTATCAATTAATCCTCAATCAAATATTTTTGTTAGGTTCGGTTAAAATGAATGCTAATGCTAAGTATTCGAGCGAAACTCTTTAATTTATCCTTTTATTAAAAAATGATGAATTTATTGAAATTTTATACATTACATGATAAAACAAACTGTATTAAAAAAATATAATATAATTTAGTCTATTTTAGTTTTTTATATAGAATTTAATCTATTAAATAAGTTTCATGTGATACAGATGAGTTAGGAAATTTGATGGTTTTATTGGGAAAAAAATTTGAGTCTGACATAATTATTTAACAATTTTGTTAAGTAAAACTAATCGACTGATTTAATTAAAAATAAAAAATCAATCATTACACTAGGGATTTAATTGAGATGAAAATCAGGTTAGAGACCCAATCAAAATTATAAGTTGGAGGCTTTTATGAGGCTTGCCCCGATGATTAAGGTGGTCTAATCGTTTGAAATATGGGTTAATTTCATTTTTTTATCTCCTAAAGTAATTCACAAATAAGTAACTGGATTATACCCCTATTGTTAACTTGGCTGATAGTTCAAGGAATCCAAGGACAAATCAAGACAAAGCCAAGCCAAGTTTTATTATCATTTTGTAAGAATCAGTTTGCGGCAACAGCGATCATTCATATTTAAGGATTGAAATGTACGATATATTCTAAAGGGGTGAAATGAAAGTTATACTTGAAATTTTCTAAAGATCCTTGAGATGGATATGGGTTGAGTGAGGGGTTTCAATAGAATGGCTTGGGTTGGACAAGGTTATACGCGGTGAAAAACTACCAAAAACAATAAATGTTGATTACAATTGAATGAGAAAATTTTCAACCATAAACTATTTCACATTTTACCTCTTCAACACACAAAATGTATAATAGTTATTAAATGAGTACATTTTCAACAAAACCTGTTTTCTTAACAACTATTGCCACCATAAATTACTACCACCACTTTGTTATCACCTATAACGACTATTTTATCACTACTATTCCAGCCATCAACTCACTCCACCGCCATCATCTTATTAAGAATATAAGCATGACATTATCATCATTCCATCACTAATTACCATTCTTATATTTGTCACTATCTCTATCACAAACATTTGATTATTACTATAACTATCATCTGAATCTACTCTTTATCCTAATCTCTATCACTTATCCAATTGCCGATATTACTATCTTATTACTAATTTTACCTTCGCAACAATGGTCACTTTATTGCCTCACCCATCTTGTCATATGCCATCTCTCGTCACCCTACGCATCTCTTCCGCCACCACTACTATCTTCAACTATATCACTTCACTTAATTATCTTATTATCAATATTTTGTAATTATCAATGAAAAATAACTCGTTTAATTTTTTATAAAATAAACGCATCCTAAATGTAGTTAATCACCATGCAAGTAGCATATTTTATTTTATTTTTATCATGTTTTACTATAAAAATTATTCACGTTCTATTATAATTTAGCAATTTTAGATCTTTATTATCTATTTACGTAATTTGAATTCCAAAATATTGTTTTTTGACAAATCTTGTTCAAATCCATTGATTGTAACAGTTAACTCAATTGACTACTTTTTTTTTGTTATTTAAAAAAATGTTAAAAATGTATTTCTTTCGTTTTTCAAGAGAGATTTTTTTTCCCACCGAGTTGACCTAAAATAAAAAAAATGTTCATTGGATTTATCAATAATATTTTTATTTTTTTTGGTTCTTTATCTCACCTTTTGAACCTATCTTTAAAAAAACTAAAAATAAAATCAAATAATATTTTTTTAAAAAAAAGGTTTTCTAACTCTAACAATTTTAAATACATTTTATCTATTTGAATCATTTGTGGGAAAAAAATCCTATAAAACATGTGAAAAAAAATGCAATAAATACAATTATATTTAAAATTTAATGATTGAAAATCAAAAAAATAAATTTATTGGCATGACAACCAAAAAATTTCAATCAATTTTTGATAATTTCAATTGATCAAATTCAATCAATATATTTTTTTATTTTATTAATTATAGAAGTTGATTGTTTTAATGAATAATGGTACTACATAAAAGTTATTTTTAAAATTGAAAAAAATTATATACAAATAACAATTGATTGACTATGAAAAAAATCAACTAGACTAATATATGAAAATTTTAAATAAAAAGAATCTTCCTTGAAAAATAGAAGGAAAAACATTTTTAACATATTAAAAAAAATTAACAGCAAAAAAAACAATAAAAAAAATTAACGATCAACTTACAATTAACGAATCAATTTACAATTAATGGATTTGAATAAAATTTGCATAAAAACCGATATTTTGAGATCTAAATTACTTAAATTGATAATAAAAATCTAAAATTACAATAGAACTGGATAATTTTTACCATTAAATCATTTCTATCCTTTGATAAATGAAAGATAAAAATAATAAAAGTAAATATCAAGAGGAATGAAGTTGGAAATAAACAATGGGACCAATGGTGTTCTTATTTCTTTGGTATAGATTCGGATTTAATCCATTTGAATATACAAAGATGCAAATATTCCCGGTACTTGTATATTAGATTACACTCCAAAAGCCTAAACGCCTTAAGCACCAAATTCAAGTATTTCCATATCAATCTCCCATCACAGCTCAACCATTACCAAAGCATCAACTATAGAAAGAATTAGACCAAATATGAGGAGGGGCAATTTAATCACCTCTCCCCATGTTGAATCCCTTCTCCCAAACAAATCAGAAGGCAGCCCTTCCTTTTCCAACAGCATAGCTTCTGCTTCTTGGACCCAATTGTGGCTTTGCAACAACACCACTTGCTTCAAAATCACATGGTTTATCTTCATCAATCCTTCCCATGAAACCCATTCCAACACTGCAACTCTTTGGCAACACCTTTTTGGATTCCATGATTATCGATGATTGCTGCTGCCTAAATTGCTGCATGTACATCTCAATTTCATTTCTGTGACCGAAGCTCCTGGCAGAGGCAGCTCTAACAAGCTCTCTGTAATCTTCAGTGTCATCAGACCTCGATGAGCCAACACTGAAAGTCCTGGGCAAGGGATGGTGTTGTCCTGCTGGCAAGGCCACGGGAGGTGATCCATAACTCATCCTCATCGAGCAGTCTGTCATGCTTTTAACATAAATATCCCTTGCTTTACACAAAAGTCTTACTGGGATTGTAATGACTCGCATGAAGTTGCTTTGGTTGCGTGCTTTTGTCTTCATGTTGGATTCTAGCAAGCTAGCTAACGATAATGGGTTCTAGAAAGTGATCTAGATTGCGAATTAAAATGGGATATTTGGGGAAAAGAAAGAAAGAAAGAAATTCGTTGCAAATTTTGAGAGACAGAAAGAGGGAGATTTGGTAATGTGGCTAGGTTTGTGGGATTTGGTTATATGTAGAGGAGAAATTAATGACCCAAAAAAAAAGATTATTATAGGTATGAAAGAAGGCAGGTGTTGGATGTAGACTTCTTTTTTAATTTTGTTTTAACTAGCACACCGGATAAGAAAGCCTGAGATAATAACATGTGGAGAGTGTGCTTAGATATCCAGATTAAGCAGGCTAAAAACGACAGATTGCTGGATAAAGTTGACAAATGAGGAGTTTTATCCATGCCTTTCTCCGTGCTGACTCATCTATTGATGGATATTCATTCGGACAGTATTTATTTTTTAATTTCTCATACCCAATTTGAAAATGAGAATAGCTTTCAGGAACCAGGATCTGAAGACCTTTTAGTTCCCGGATGGCGGCTCAACTTGGACATTAATAAGTCCAACTGGTGAGGCATAAGTCCAACCGGTTGGGTGTCTTTGTAACTTGTGCAGAGTAAGGATATTGCTATATTGCTAACTAACAAGTGTCCCAAACTCATCTGTTTTCATTTCATTGAACTAATTAATAGCATCCCTTTCGTCATAAATACTCCCGTCTCAATTGTAACATCTGATATTGTACCAAATAATTTTTGGTAATTTAGATAATTGAATCGAGACAGCAACATATTAAAATATATTGGTTGGTTGACCAAATTTTTATTTCTCGAAATTAAAAATAATCCTCGTCGGGGACAATATAAAACATAAAATTAACACCACCTGAAGGGAATTTTAAATGTTCAGAATCATGTTTTGAACTTGGAAACTACTACATTTTCGTATAAACTGTGAAACTGGAAAGATTATGTTTAATGGCTGTGAAATCTTAAAACTGAGTAAATAACGATCGGTAGCAATGCTGAATTAAAAAAAGCACATATATAAAAAAAAAAATTAAAAGAGAAAAAAGAATGCCAGCTAGCTAGATTTACTTTCGTTGCCGGCAACTGAATTTTTGAAAAAACCGCGCTGGCTAGTCATGGGGCGGTGTCCTGCCGACTGCATAAATTGCTGGAATGAAATTTTGCATGCCCAATTATTCTGAGTTAGATCCAGAGGTGGACCATAATTTAATGAACAGTTTATGGAATTAAGAAGGAAAAGGAAGAGTCAACAACTTATCAGTTTACCTAATTCTGCAGGCGCCCACTGTGTGGAACCACCCTCTAGAAACCATTAGCCATGTAAAGAGAGAGAACCGCAATTTGAGTACTTGATTTTTTATTGTATTTCTGTTTGAATGTTTAATAGATATATTTTTTTTATCTAGTGTTTAAATTCTGATTTTTTATTTTTTTTTATGTTCTAGTGTTTACAATCACCTAAATTTTGAAAATATTGATGTGTTATAAATAAACTGTCTATGGCAATTTTTAACCGACACATGATAATAATGAATTCCATTTGGATTATTTATAAAAATCAATTTTTTTAAATACAGTTTAAGTGTCTAAAATTTTATTATTTTTTTAGAGCCCAACATTTGATTTTTTTTTCTATTTAAGTTTTCTTAATCACTTGAAATTAAAAAATATTGACGTAATCGAATCAAGTGCCATACGATAATTTTTAAGTCGACACGTGATAAAAATGAATTCTATTTGGATTATTTATAAAAATCAATTTTTTAAAATACAATTTAAGTGTCTAACATTTTATTATTTCTTTAGGGTTCAACATTTGATTTTTTTTTCTATTTGAGTTTTCTTAATCACTTGAAATTAAAAAATACCGACATAATTAGAATTAATTGCCATACGATAATTTTTAATCGACACGTAGTAAAAAGTGGATTCCACTAAGACATATTGAGAAAAATAAAAAATATATATAAAATAAAATAGCTATCAATAATTATAAAAATAAATAAATCAAAATCAGTTATTATTCGTTGAATGAACTCAACAAATTTACTAGCCAATTTTTTAAAATATTTCCAAAATATTACCATCCAAACATTTTCTTTGCTTAGTTTAAGAGTTTTAACTTTAGATTATTTAAACAATTCGAGTTCATTCAGTTAACCATAATTAAACTTTGGCTTTTTTAAAAAAAAAATTTCCAACCATTTTCTTTTATAAATGTTTTATAATTTTTTTAATAAATCTTTGTGGAATTTACTTTTTACTGCGTATCAATTAAAATATGTCGTATGTCAATAAATACCAACTACATCAACATTTTTAGTCTCAAGTGAGTGAGAAAACTTAAACGAAACAAATCAAATTATAGGTACTTAAACTGAAAAATAATTAAAGACTAGACACTTAAATTATATTTTTTCTTAAGTAATCAAAGCATGATTCATTTTTACCACGTGTCAGTTAAAAAATATAATATAAAAATCATTTCGGACGCATAAGCATTTTTTAGTGTCATTGTGGACACTCAAATAAAAAAAATATAATCAAAACTTGGACAACATAATAGAAGATTTTCCAACTACATACTCAAACACAAAAAGAAATTAAATAAATACGTCCGGTAAGTCTTTGATAATCTTGTAACATTGTAATGCAAATTAAATATGTTCCAAGTATATAGTTGCAATAAAAATTAATATGATATTTACCTCCTATTATATGATATAGTAAGTGTTCAAAATATTGTTAAAAAAAAACAGTGCGGTCAAAAAAAAGTTGTTTGAATCGATACATATAGGTTTTCTATGTATTTATAAATGATGCATAATTTTACTTAATATTTATACGAGTAAACTATGAATTTTTTAAAAAATCTAATCTTGCAGTTTTTTTCATAAAAAAATATGTTTAGTCCACTGTCCACCACTAATAGACTCTAAATCCTTCAATGTCACTTATAAATTTTATTCGAAATAAACATATGATAAAAAAATAATATTAATTTAAATACAAAACATGACATGAGACGCTAAAAAATATATCTCATGCATACATCTTGTTGTTCTTCTTCTTTTCAGAAATAGAAATACCTTGTTTTTTGTGTTCATTATTGATAATTAAACGTAATACGTGTCTGTACTGAGCATAAAATTAGGCCGATAAATTGGATGGATCAATTAAAATTCATTTTGGTTGGCTGGACGATTATGTCGTTAGGTAAGCGATCAGGACAGCAGACAAGACAAAAATATTTTCACGGGCGATAATTTGTCGACATTTAAGGTATTTGTAGCGCCCTGATTTGTTCGCACTAAACCATCTATTGATTGGTGATTCCGCTGGAAAGCCAAGTTTTCCTCTAATTAATGTTGGCACGAATTATCAATATCTGCTTTCAAGCTAATGATATTATTATCTCTGATTTATTTTATCAAGTCTTGTATTTATTAAATATTTTACTTTTTCATATAAAAATACTCACTACAAAAAAAAAAAAAAAAAGATTTGCAAGGAGAAATTAACGACGAGTCTAAAAACGTCGCTAATTTACTAAAGTTGTGATGGTTTAAAGCATTTTAGTGATGGTCTTCGCAACTGTTATTAAACTAGTTCTAAAAAATCATGAACATTAGCGACGGTTTTTTGCGAAAAACAATCGCTAGTTTCAATTTTTTTAAAAAATTTCTAAAACCATTTTTGCAATGGTTTTTATAAAAAAAAAAAATCGCAAATCATAGAAATTAGCAACGGTTTTTTTCAAAAAAGCCGTCACTAATTCCATTTTTTTTTCTTAAAGCCATTTTTGCGACGGTTTTTATAAAAAAAACCATCACAAATTATGAAAATTAGCGATGGTGTTTTTCTAAAAAATCAGTCAATGATTCCAATTTGTTTTTAAAAAAATTCTAAAGCCATTTTTGCGACGATTTTTTACAAAAAAAACCATTGCAAATTACCAAATTTGCGACGGTCTAAGGACCGTCATTAAAATATCACTAATTATTCACAATTGGAGGGAAACGGCTATTTTTTAAAATTTTCAAGCAATTAGTGACGGTTTTTTAGACCGTCATTGAAACTTTCAACCTCTAAATACCATTCTCGCTCGAAAATTTTCCTAAAAAATTTCTTCTTCCCTCTCTTCTTCGTTTCCAACACCGATTTCCCTTCCGTTTCCATCAAATCTTCCCCCTCTTCTTTATTTTCCTTTCAATCTCCTCCTTTCCTTTCTCCTCTCCATCTCTTCCCCTGTCTTCCTCCTTTTTCTCTTTCTTTCTTCCTTCCTCCTCCCTTCCTTAACGAGTCCATTTCCCGATCGCAACGACCCAACAAAGCCCCTCCACGGGTGCAACCCTCTCTCCTCTTTGTATTGGTGAAAGGTTCTCGCTCACCTAACCTCTTAATTAATTTTTTTTTCAATTATTTACTTAATTTAATTTTAATTTTAATTTTTTTTGTTAGTTTAATTGTTATTGTTAATTGTTAATTTATCGTTAATTTAGTTAGTTTAATTGTTAATAATTTTTGTTAATCATGAGAGTTTAATTTTTAAGAAAATGCAATTGTCATTAATTTTTGTTGTTAATTTAATTGTTATTGTTATTAGTTTACACAAAAAATATTTTTAATATAAAAAATTCAAAAGAAATTTGTTTATTACATGAAAACTATTTATTTTGTAGAAAATTTAGGATTCCTTATCATCTTTAGATCTTTCTAAAAAATTTCCAACTTATATTTGGGAGGAATGAATTTTGATTTATTACTTTGATTTTGGCACTAATTTTTTGGCATAAAATTTCATATATATATAGGGATTGAGGACAGAATCAGGTAAAGTAGTACAATGGCCTTCCACCTTAATCCCGCAACGGTTCCTCAACTTGCATGGGTAGGCTCACGCAAATGGGGCAGGTATGCATATGCGCCATTTTCTTTTGATGAAGCCCTTTTTTCCCTAAGTCGGGCCTTAAGTTGGGCCTCGTACCTTCCACCTTAATCCGGCAGCTGTTCCCCAACTTGCATGGGTAGGCTCACGGCAATTGGGCACGTATGCATATGTGCCATTTTCTTTTGACCAAGCCCATTTTTGTTTCTAAGTTAAGCCTTACGTTGGGCCTCGTACAAAATAAAGAGAGGCCTGTTTTCTTTTCATTGGAGGATAAATGAGGACCAAACTCCAATAAACGATGTGGCACGTTCTCCACTTCAAATTCCTTGGACAGATTGCAATTTGCAAGGCATCGGTGCACCCTGGATGTCATCAGCTAGCCATTTCTGTGTCTCACTCTCCTGCTCGAAACATATTTGCAGAAAACAAGACATGAAAAGATTAATATTCAAATTGGGAATAATTTCCATGTCCATGATGTTATACTTGTGTCAAGCAACCAGCAATCTCCACCCTTTGATCTTAGTACCCGGAAATGGTGGAAACCAACTAGAAGCCAGGCTAACCCGCGACTACAAGCCCTCGAGCCTGGTCTGCCATTTGTACCCACTTTTGAAGCCAAAAGGCGGTTGGTTCAGACTATGGTTTGACCCCGGGGTCCTATTAGCACCCTTAGCTCAATGTTTTGCTGATCGTATGATGCTCTTCTATGATAAAGATTTGGATGATTATCGGAATGCTCCTGGGATCGAGACAAAAGTGCTAAATTATGGTTCCACTCAGTCTCTTCTCTACCTCGATCCCAATCTCAAGTAAGCCTCTTGTGTTATATATTTATTTTGGTGTCTTGAAATTATATATATATATATATATATATATATATATATATATATATATATATATATATAAATCAGACTATTGCTTAATTGTGCTAAACACAATTAGCATGTATCGTTTGTTTCGATGGTTTGCCTGAAGCACTGGCTTGTATCTTCTAGGTTGGTGGGTCTAAAATCAAAATAAAATAAAATAAAATAGTTAATCATTACTGATGTTGAATTTTATAATTGAAATAATACTATTTTATTTTATTTAAATTTTGATGAACTCTAACTAATAAATAATCATGTGGTATTTTATAATTAAAATAATACTTATTTTTCAAATTTTGATGAAATGAATTTTATGAATTTCAATATGGATGAATGATATATATTTAATTGAGATATTTTTAATAACTTAGGAAGTCAATTGAAACATAAAAAATATCATATCATTAGATATATGTTTGTTAATATACGAATCAAAGAATGAAAACTTTGATAAAATTTCAAAAAAAATGCTTGATATAAACGAAATCCGAAGGAAGAATTTGAGAAACATCTTAAACTTAAGAAGGGAAATTAAAATTTACCCTAAGAAAAATAAAGTAACAGTTCAATAATGTTGATGAGAAATTTTTAACCGGTTCAAATCATTGAAGAAAATTAGTATATGAAGCAAGTTTGTTTGAATCAAATTCAATTAATTGGTTGCTGCCGTGAATCTTAATATTAACATTTAACAACCAGTACATCATCTTTCTGAAACATGGTTAGCTTGATCTACATAAATTACACACACACATATATATATGACTTGTGACAATTCTATACCTTACAGGCACGCGACGGCATACATGGCTCCACTAGTGGAATCTTTAGAAGAAATTGGATATGTTAATGGGAAAACACTATTTGGAGCTCCATACGATTTTCGATATGGCCTGGCAGCCGAAGGTCACCCATCAAAGGTTGGTTCGAAGTTTTTGCAGGACTTAAAAGATCTCATAGAAAAAGCAAGCACAGATAATGGTGGGAAGCCAGTAATTATTGTCTCCCACAGTTTAGGAGGTCTTTTTGTGCTCCAACTTCTCAACCGAAACCCGATATCTTGGCGTAAAAAATTTATCAAACACTTTGTTGCGCTTTCCACTCCGTGGGGTGGCACAGTGGAGCAAATGGTTACTTTTGCCTCGGGGAATACTCTAGGAGTACCCTTTGTTGATCCATTGCTTGTAAGAGGAGAGCAAAGAACTTCAGAAAGCAACTCTTGGCTTTTGCCTAATGCGAAAGTATTTGGTGAAAGAAAACTCGTTATTGCGCCAAATGCTACTTATTCAGCACATGAAATCACTCAATTTCTTAATGACATTGGATTTTCGGAAGGGGTTTATCCTTATACAACCCGAATTTTGCCTCTAATGGAACAGTTGATCGCGCCAGAGGTTCCTATCACATGTATAATTGGGAGTGGTGTTAGGACACCAGAAACTTTATTCTACGGGGGAAATGGTTTTGATGAGCAACCAGATGTTGTTTATGGAGACGGAGATGGCACAGTGAACATGGTGAGCTTGCTAGCAATTGAGAAATTGTGGGCTAAGGAGGCAAATCAAACCCTCAAGGTAATTAGAATTGGTGGGATTTCTCACACATCAATTCTACATGATGATTCGGCAATCGATGAAATAATAGGTCAAATTTCTTGTATTAATTCTCATGTAATCAGCACAGCTTTGTAGAGAGTTCTATTATCATGGGTAGACGAGGATTCATTGCGTGGATGAGTTTCCAGAGGGTCGGAAATCCTTGATTCCATCTAATCTGATGTGATTAGTTCGGTCACCATGTCCAACGTAATATTTTTCTTCCATAGAGAATGTAATTGGAGTAAATACAAGGCATTTCATTCACGACTCTGGTAATTTTCCTTTTTAATGAAAATAGCAAGATCTCTATTCTCTATTTCTCTCACCATAGATATGGTGCAACATTTGGGAACTATAACTTAGTTGAATTCTGATCCAATAATTAAAAAAAATATATATATATCAGAGAGAGAGAGAGAGAGAGAGAGAAGAGAAAAGGAAAAGTGCGCAGGCAACAACAGAAAAGACAACCTGTATACTGCCTCAAAAGAATATTGGTCAAATCTGTAGTTGCCCATTCTTCCACTACTGCCATCGCTACAGCTGCTGCTTACATAACTTTTATTTTAGACAAAGTTTAAATAATTAATTAAACAAACAATAATTAACTGCGAGGCAGACGATGGCACAGAGAGAGAGGTCGCACGATTCCCATGGGCCACGTGTCGTTGTCGATTTAGCCCAAAAAGCAAGCAAAAGTGCATCAAAGTGGTCAAACAAAGAGACCGGAAAGGCAGCCCAAGGCGTACGTATATAGTCAAGACCCAAGATAACCGGTCAAAAGTTGAGCTGGCACTTTACGAAAGGCACGCTCTCAGCGGGCCCCACCCCCACGGGACTTCCAGTTCCCCGATCCATCTAGTTTTTAATTTGTTGTTCAAAAAAACAAATCTAATTTTTAATTTCTTAGAGAAATTAATACTATTGGATGAATTATTCTAAGTAGCCATAAAATATTTGAAAAGAATATTATCTATGATTTTTGCAAATATTTCACTCTTTATAGATCCCATGAGATTGAAATTACCAAACAATTGATAAAGATTTTTTAATAATATTTATGACTCCTTATTAAGAAATTCAATTAAAAAAAATGGATAATGAACTATGAGTAAAGTTTACCATTGTTTTTTTTAAGTTCACATATATAAATAAATTTGATTTTATATGTTCTCCCAATATGCTAAGTCATTTTACTCATTAATGCAGTCAAACATTTAAGTAGTTTGTAATTATTTTTTTAATTTAGATTGTTAAACTAGGATCTCAATCAAGCAAATGCTTGAAGAATATCATTTTTTTAGTAAAATGTATTTATCTTTTTTTAAGATGCCATGATAAATATATATTTTTAGCTAATTTATATGTGAATTAAAATTAATTATTTTAAAAATTTATTTTTTTATGCTGGCATGCTGCATTTAGATAATTTTAATAATTTTTTTATATTTATCTCAAATTTAATAAAAATAAAAATAAACAAATAAACCTCTTTGATTATAAACAAACTTCCAAAAATCTTTGAAATTTAAATTTATAGTCCATAAATCAAATCAAGAAGGACTATCAACTTTTCATAAATCATTACGCTTCTAATCCTAGATTTTCCATTTTTAAGGGGCACGCCCTTACCAGAATATTAAAAAACGAGCATTAATCCACTTTTATTTTTCACCTGAAAATTCCCAATTAAAAAAGACCGATTTCATTGAAAAATCGGATATTAAGGTGGCTAAGGATACGACTGCACGTGTGGTGCACAGTTGCCAATGGTATGAATCACTGGCTATACCCGGTTACTCACACTAGACTCCACTGTCTTTCTAGGTTCCTTTAGGGTTTTTTTTTTTTTTTTTTTTTGCATTCTTATATATTATTTTTTGGTCCTAGAGAGGATGGGATTTTTAGATGAGCGATGGTTGTTTTAAAAGCGTATCACATATTTATTTGTTCATCTAATTTCAACAATTTTGTAAAGGGTTTGATGATTTATATATTTAACAAATACTGTTTAAAATTAATCCAACTGTATCATTGGGCGTAGCGAATTTTGACATCATCAATAATTCGGAGTAAATCGCCTCATTCGTAACAGATATTGATGAAAATGAATAAAATCTGCACCTTTTTGTTACAAAGCAATGGTTTTTTTTCCCCCTCCTATTTTATATTTTGAGTTGAAACTTAAAAGGGATGCGGTTGTAGGATACGCGCCTCAACTTGGAGGACTCGTGAGTAGTGGACTGGCAATACGGATTGTGGATGCGACCGAGCAAGGGTGGGACCGTAATTTCAAAGATTGTCCCATACGAAAACAGTAAAGTGGATTGTATTTGTACTGTATTCAAATTTACTACTATTGATTTTTGAGTGGTGACCCACAATAGCGAAATTTTCAAGGGTCTTTGATGATTTCATACTTTTGTTGCCTGCCCTACACTAACATGAGCAACAGCACAGACTAGAGATTAGAGAAGACTGACTGTTCAAGATATACACTACTCTAGCTCTTTTATTATATTTCTGTTCTATTTTTCTTCTTCACACTCCACGCTCTTCTTCTCTGTATCGCTACAATATAGCTCGGTATGGTTCTCAGTTTTCCCATTCTTTCATGTCTTTAGTGTTATAATCTCACTTTTCATTACTCCACGCTCCTCCTTCCTTCGTTCCCTTCTTTCTTGTTGTCTATTTTATATGTGGTGAATTTGAGCTCTCCAGGTACCTACTGTTCACTGTGACTATCTTGTTGTTTCCCTTTTGATTATTCTTTCATTCTTTGCTTTTTATGTGAGCTTGGGTTGTTGATGGTTTCTCTCTCTCTTTTTTTTTTGGGAGCTTCAAGGGTAAGTTATTAGTGAATTGAGCGAGAAAGCTTTGGTGTTAGAGAAAAGATAATATGTTCATCATGTCTTTGATGATGACAGGGGAGTGTGTTTTTTATACTCTTTTAACCAGAGAAAGAGATCAGATAAAGAGCAAAAATAAAGCACGCAATGTAGAAAATTTGTCTCCTTTGATACTCACTCTTCTTTGTGTATGTCAATGAGAGAGAGAGAGAGAGAGGTCTTATGCCATCTATCCTTTCTCTTTTTCTTTCCCACACGTTTCTTGTCCCGTGGATGTGATGGGTCTTAATATTTTTATTATTCTTTGCCTTCTCCTTTGACATCTCGGGTTTCTCTTTTGTTGAATCAGATTTATCTCTTCTTGTTGGATAGTGGTTAGTGTTTTCTTTCTTAAAGGAATCTCAAAATGCCGATGTATGAACCAAATAGCTATAGAAATGTAAAGCTAGATGTGGGTGCTGGTGGGCAAGTTCTAGATCTAGAAACCGCCATTAAGGATGGCGTTTTGGGCGGTGTTGGCGGTGGTGTTTTAGTTTGTGCTGGTGTGGCGGAGAAATTGGATCTGAAGAAGATGATTGAGGAGCTTGAATCAATAGAAGTGCCACCAGTTTTTATATGTCCAATTTCGTTGGACCCAATGCAAGACCCAGTGACACTTTGCACTGGACAGACTTACGAAAGATCCAACATTCTCAAATGGTTCTCCCTGGGTCATTGCACGTGCCCCACTACAATGCAAGAACTCTGGGATGATACGGTGACGCCAAACAGGACTATGCAACAGCTGATTTATAGCTGGTTCTTGCAGAAGTTCTTGGCTATGAAGAAGAGGTCAGAGGATGTGCAAGGAAGGGTGATTGAGCTTCTGGAGAATCTGAAGAAAGTTAAGGGTCAAGCTAGAGTGCAAACTTTGAAGGAACTTAGGCAGGTTGCGGCTGCACATTCTACAGCAAGGAAGGCCGTGCTGGATAATGGTGGGACTGCGTTGTTGTCTTCTTTATTGGGTCCCTTTACCACTCATGCTGTTGGGTCTGAGGTAGTTGGAATCCTAGTGAATTTGGATCTTGATTTTGCATCCAAGTCGAATTTGAGGCAACCTGCTAAGATTTCTTTAATGGTGGATATGTTGAATGAGGGTTCTATCGAGACCAAGATTAACTGTACCCGATTGATAGATGTGTTGATGGAAGGGAATGATTTTGAGCATGAAAACATATGGAGTTTGAGTCTGTTAGTTGGTCTGTTAAGGTTGGTGAAAGATAAGAGACACCCAAATGGGTTATTGGCTGGACTTGGTTTGTTAAAGAGTATTTGTTCACATGAATCAGTTAGAGGCTCAGTTGTGAGCATTGGGACAGTTCCTCCATTGGTGGGGCTATTGCCAAGTTTGAATAGTGAGTGCTTGGAATTAGCACTATATATTCTGGAGGTTCTTTCAAGTATTCCGGAGGGAAGATTGGCTTTGAAGGATTGTGCCAACACAATACCGAATGTGGTCAAGTTGTTGATGAGGGTTTCGGAGGCTTGCACACAGCTTGCATTGTCTATATTATGGGCCGTTTGCATGCTCGCACCAGAAGAATGTACTGCACTTGCTGTGGAGGCGGGTTTGGCAGCCAAACTATTACTTGTAATACAGAGTGGTTGCAACCCTATGCTGAAGCAGCGATCGGTTGAACTATTGAAATTATGTAGTCTTAATTACACGTCAACTATTTTCATTTCTGAGTGTAAGCTTACGAGAACAATACAGTGAAGAGCAGTGAGAATTTGCTGATATATACCATCCCTTTCCCGTCACAAGATGGAAACGGGCTTGAGCTCGTGGGATCAGATGATCTAAAATGGGGTTGCTTTAAGGTATTCTTCTCTCTCGCTTGTATATATCAAAGATCGTGGATACACTGTATTGATTTTACATCATAGAAGCTTCATAATGTGGATGTAGGCTAATTGCATATTGTTTAGTTATTAATCCACTGTCTATATGCTGGTGGTTTGCGAAAATTTTCTAATAATAACCAAAGAGGTTGTATTGTTTTCAAATTTTGCTGTTCTTTTTCGCCAACCGCTGCCTATCTGGTCTCTAGTTTGGCGTTTGTATCCATAGTCAAGAGAGCAATACTCTGGACTCTGTCTCTGTAACGGAGTTTTTGCCGGGGTGGGGTGAACATTGGGTGTGGACAATGCAGGAACTGGGATGCAGGGAGGGAATAACTCTTGTGTACTTTGGCCTTGCATTTT